CTTGTTTGTTAACAAGAAGGGCGGAGGCCTACGCATGTGCGTCGACTATCGCGCCTTAAACAAGATCACAATTAAGAACAGATATCCGCTGCCTCGCATTGAGGATCTGTTTGATCGCCTCCAGGGTGCCCAATGGTTTAGCGCATTGGACCTCGCACAGGGGTACCATCAGTTGCGCATCACCAACGACGATGTACCCAAAACAGCGTTTCGCATGCCGTTTGGGCATTTTCAATTGCGTGTGCTGAGTTTCGGTCTGACTAACGCACCGGCCTCTTTTCAGAGGGCGATGAATGATGTCTTTCGTGAGGCAATCGGTCAGTTTGACTTGGTTTACCTTGACGATATACTGGTCTATTCCAAGACCGAACAGGAGCACACAAAACACCTAAAATGGGTGTTAAACAAACTACGAGAGCACAAATTCTATGCTCGCTTATGGAAGTGTCACTTCTATAAGCGCGAACTAGAATATCTGGGATATCTCGTGGGGAACAGTGGGTTGAAAGTCGATCCCAAGAAAGTGGCGGCTGTTGAGAACTGGCCCGTTCCACAGGACGTGGGTCAAGTCAGGTCCTTTTTGGGCTTAGCCAATTATTTTCGCCGTTTCTTGGAGAATTATTCAACCATCGTTGCCCCATTGACCGCACTTACTCGAAAGGGTACAGCGTGGGAATGGACCAGACAATGCCAAGAGGCATTTGAAGCGGTCAAACAAAAGTTGACCAATGCTCCCGTTCTGGTATTACCAGATCCAACAAAACCCTACGAGGTAGTCACAGACGCCTCAACAGTAGGGATTGGCGCAGTCCTTCTGCAAGAAGGACGCCCTGTGGCATACGAGAGTAGAAAGCTCTCCCCGGCAGAGCAGCGCTATACGACTTCCGAACAAGAACTGTTGGCAGTCGTCCATGCGCTACGAACATGGCGATGTTACTTGGAAGGTGTGGACTTTGTTGTCACAACTGACCATTGTCCAAACACCTACTTTTCCAGCCAAGCCACCCTCACTCGTCGCCAAGCCCGATGGGCTGAACTCCTTAGCGGATTCACCTACTATATTCGATATCGGGCAGGCTCGACGAACATGGCTGATCCCCTCAGCAGACAGCCGATAGGGGCAGCAAACGGGCTAGAGGACGCTGAACATGCTGCCGTTTTTGCAGCTTACTTTGGTATCCTCGCTGTCGCCCGAGTGAGTGAGATTACTTTCAGTGGTTTTCTGAAACGAATCCGCACAGGCTATCAGATTGATTCCTGGTTTCAGAACCCACAGAATACGAAGGATCTCTCATGGGAGCATGAGCTCTGGTGGCATGGAAAAGAATTGTCGTACCACACGTGGGGAACCTGCGGAATGACATCTTACAAGAAGTGCATGCCAGTAAATACAGTGGACACCTCGGAGTTAAGAAAACCCGATGGGCATTGTGTGACGTATACTGGTGGCCAGGGTTGGGCAATGAAGTCCAGCAGTTTGTTACACGCTGCGACACGTGTGCACGTAATAAACCGAGCACACAAAAACCCGGTGGCTTGCTTCAACCACTTGCAATCCCTGATGAACCTTGGGAGAGTGTATCAATGGATGAATTTCATCACTGACCTCCCTAAAACACGAGATGGTCATACAGCGATCCTCGTCTTCGTAGATCGTTTGACCAAGATGGTGCACTTCGTGCCTACAACCACTGACGTATCAGCGGAAGATACGGCTAAGTTGTTTGTGGCACACGTTTTCCGTTTACATGGTTTAACTCGTGTACTAGTGTCTGACCGAGACCCTCGTTTCACAAGCCGTTTCTGGCAGGAGGTCATTCGGACACTGGGGACGAAGCTGAAAATGTCGTCTGCATTCCATCCTCAAACGGATGGGCAGACCGAGCGCACAAATCGCACTCTTGAACAAATGCTTCGTTCGTTTATTGGCCCAACTCAGGATGATTGGGATGAGCTGTTGCCAGTAGTGGAATTTGCTGTGAACAACTCGGTGCATGAGAGCACCCACGAAAAACCTTTCATCTTAAATTGTGGTCGGCACCCCACAACACCTGCTACGCATGGGGTCAGTGGCTTGAATATTCCAGCCGCTAAGGACTTTATTGGCAAGCAGCAAGAAGCGCTTAAGTCTGCTCGTCGTTGGTTGCAACTTGCCCAACAACGCCAAAAGTCTTATGCTGACATGAAACGCCGGGACGTCTCTTTTCAAGAGGGAGACAGAGTATTATTGAGTACGAAAAACATTCGACTCAAACTACCTGGGGCACGAAAGCTGTTTCCTCGTTGGATTGGGCCATTCGAGGTTATCAGCCGGGTTGGGGCGGTGGCTTATAAGCTTAAGCTACCAGACACCTTGCAGATTCACAACGTCTTCCACGTGTCTCTGTTAAACAAGTATGTTGCCGAAGGCACGTACCAACCACCGCCAACCATCGTCCTGGGTGAGGAACTATATTATGAAGTCGAGCGTGTGCTCATGCACCGTGATCGACAACGCGGCCGTAAAACAAAACGTGAGTTCCTCATTAAATGGAAGGGCTATGAGCCTGAACACAATTCTTGGGAGCCAGAGGAACACTTGACTGAAACAGCAGTTCAAGCTTACATGGAAGACTTGGCTCTCCGAGCAGCCCCACAGCCAGTGGATGGTGTTGACCCTGGTCGTAATGTGGTTCGTCGTGCTCGTAGCACTCGCCCCAAGAAGCACTCCAAGGCAACGGGGACGTTGCCAACTGGAGGGGGAGGAGTGTAACGCATCGCCCTCCTACTCGACGAGCGATCCTAGCTAAAGCGATACCTAAGCAAGGTATCGACTTACGGGAAGAAGAGGTTGGAGGAGATGAGTGGTGATTGGTCCACAATTGTGGACCACCACCACTAAAAGACAAACATGGTTGGGAATCAACCCAACCTCCACATTGGTTGGAATTCCAACCAATAGCATTTGAGCATTGCTGTTACAAATTTCAACATGTAACAAAACCAACCTTATCACAAAACTCTCTCTCTCATTGGTTGCTAATCCAACCATTGTGCCACCTAAGCAAGCTTACCCCAAGGAGCTCCTTGCCCTTGTTGCCATGGAGGAAGTGGAGCTCCCCAAGGAGGTCTAGGAGGGGTTTGAGCTAACCAAGCTCATTCTCAACTCCCAACTTCCAATTAACCAAAATGGAAATGGGATTTTCTCACTAAGTCCAAGACTTTTTCCCTCACAAGTGCTCCAAGCATCTACTACCTTCTTGGTGAAGCTACATCTTCTCTTCCAAGGCTTCACCTACCAAGCTTCCAAGACTTGAGGCTACTATTAGGACTAGTCTTTACCGTGTGTGTGTATTCTTGGCGTTTTATAAGCCTACTATTGACCCTTTTGTGGGCATTCATTTATAAGCCCGGGTCTTTGTTGTGAGTTTAAGGGCGTTTTCATATAAGCCCGTGTTACACAAACAGTTTAAGTGTTATTGTCAGAATGTTGTATTTGTCTAGCCTGCAGTGGGGTACTCTATAGCGAGTACAGCCCAATCTAGGGTTTGCTATTTGTATCTCAACTGCTGCTAGTCCAAACCCTCTTTCTGCTTCTAAACTTTCTCCTACTACTTCGACAGTTATGAGTTGTAAAAGAGAGTGCGCAGGTAAACGAATAACGAGGCTGTGACTGAATGAACTGAGAATACAATGAATGCACAGACTAATGTAGGGCTAGCCTAGCTAGGAGGAAACCTCGGGTGAGCGAGGTTGGGTGCAGGTTTGGCGATGGAAATGCCGAAGGCGACGCGGGGAGCCTCGGCAGCGTGGAAATCGCCCGAACGTGCGAACTCCGAAAATCGGGTTGTACGCGCAGCAGTCAACCCCGATAAGGAATTCGAGAAAATTCCTTACATTAAGCTAGAACGCTAGCTGATTCACGTTGAATTCTGTAAAATCGGAGCTCTTCACTAAGCAGTGGTTATAACACGCCGGATATTTGCTGCGCGCTGGAGATGACGACTGTACTGTCTGATACAGTGATCCGCAGCACTTTGTCGAGCCTGTTCGCGCTCGAACCTGTCCGAACCTGTTATCCACACTTTGAGGAACGAAATGACCAATCGGCTAACACTGCGTGGCAGTTATGTTCGATGTCACCCAGCAAACTGCCCACCGACAAATTGGAACCTCCCCAAAAAAAAACCCGTAAAGTGATTAAATGACGCGAAAAGGGGGGAGCGCGTGCCGCTCGCGATAGAAGGTGGAGTGTGTGTCTTTCGGGTTGTGGAAAAAATTGAGCGCGATAAGAAAAATTCACGAGACCAAAACCCGCGCCGCGGCAATTCTCTCTCTACATCGGGACAGACGAGGTCATGCGTGCGTGCACGTCGCTGTAGAAAATTATCTTACTCAAGTGCGAGCGGAGCGCGACGCGCGAATCAGGAAGGACAGGCAGCATGTATGCCACGAGCCATTTCCATGTAGCAAACCAACACAGCGTCAGCAAACCGACTTGGGTAGGGAGGGGTGTGGAAGGCGTGGTCCATTTCGTTCGTTTAGCGCAATGGCAGGGTGTTCTGGAAACGCGAAGTTCGGACGACACACTTTAGCACGAAAATTTTACGACTCGAGTCCTTGGGCTATCCTGTGACACATCATCATCTTCCCCCCCTACGGAACGAGCCCGAAATACAAAGTTTCGTATTTCCCGCCCAAGGTTTCGCGAAGGGTAACCGGGAATTCGTGGGGGGTGAGACTGCACCGAGTGCTCACGAACACAGAAGGAGCTATGCATTTGCGAAACATGACGGAAGCCGCACACACCTGCAAACTGACGGCCAAGTGTTAACGGAAACGGTTTGAATATTTCACCTAGACGTGGTCCTGAACACCACCTATAGTACTACAGCGTAAGCGGGTTTTATCGCCGCTGCCTGCTGCTGACTCTAGTCAAATCAAAGCGTTAATCAGAACGATAGCTGGTGCAGCCTAACCATCGCGAGCTTTCGCAATTCGTCGGCTCCGCGCGGCATCCCATGTCCGCATACCCCGCCGTCGGCGCATACGACCGCCGCGCTGCCCCTTCCGGCAGCGGGCCGGCCGCCATGTACCCGCGCGTGGCGCACCCCGTGCCGTCCGCTTCCCCGTTCTCCGGCGCGGGCGGAACGTCCCTCCGCGTGCCGGTCGTGACGGCCGTCGGCGCAGGCGCGCATAGCGGGGGCTTGGGCGGAGTGGGCGGAATGGGCGGACACGGCCCGAGTGGCGGAGCGCCAGGGCTTGCTGCAGGTGCCGTTTGCGCGCGGCTTAGACTCACATATCCGTTGGCCACCCTGAAATCAGCCACAACTGCCAGCAAATTACCTTACTGAACTCGAATCCCTAGAATTGCAACTCCCTCAACTCGCACCCCCATAAACCCTCACCTCCCTTGCGGTGCTCCTCCTCCCCGCCATGCGCTTCCCCGCATCATCCCCCCGCCATGCGCTTCCCCGCATCATCCCCCCGCCATGCGCTTCCCCGCATCATCCCCCCGCCATGCGCTTCCCCGCATCATCCCCCCGCCATGCGTGCAGGCCCAGCGCCCATCGCGGTGACCATCAAGACGCAGCTGCGGGTCGCACAGGTCAGCCGTTCTGCACCACTCTGCACCACACCTCCTTCCCACGCATCGGTTCTCCCTCGTCTCTTCTTTCTCCTCTCTGCTTCTCTGCACTTCTCTTCCTCCTCCTTTCTCCTCTGCTTTTGTCTCGTCTTTCCCCTCTCGTCTATTCTCTTACCTTTGAGTACCCCCATTTCCAACAGTTCATCTCGTCTCCCTTCCACCAGTCAACCTGCCTGTTACCACCTCCCCTTGCCATCGCACCTCGCCTTTCCGTTTCCCTCAGCCCTTTTCCGCCAGAATTTGTCGGTTTCAAGGTGGATTTTCTCCTCAACTCTCCTCCGCACTTCCCTTTCCACCCTGATTCGCCCGCTCACAGCCCTGTGACTTAGGGGTGACGTTTGTTTGAGTTGACTCGATTACCTTCCCTTTCCACCCTGTGTAACCCGCTCACAGCCGCCCCCGCTAGCGCCGGTGCAGGCGGTGCCAGTGAGCGCCACCGTCTTTGACTTCGACGTGGATGGAAAAGAGAAGCACCTGCTTCTGTCCGAGGTGCCATTTGAGTCGATTCAAATACCTATCCCTCTCCACCCTGTGTCGCCCGCTCACAGCCGCCCCCGCTAGCGCCAGTGCAGGCGGTGCCGGCGAGCGCAGCAGCGTTTGACTTTGACGTGGAGAGGCTGCTGCTGTGGAGGTGACGTTTGAGTCGACTCAACTAAATAACCTTCCCTCTGCACCCTGTGTAACCCGCTCACAGCCGCCCCCGCTAGCGCCAGTGCAGGCGGTGCCGGCGAGCGCAGCCGCATTTGACTTCGACGTGGAGCAGCAGGTGTCAACATGACGTCTGAGCTGACTCAACGCAATCACCTTTCCCTCTCCACCCTGTGTCACCCCGCTCACAGCCGCCCCCCCTAGCGCCAGTGCAGGCGGTGCCGGTGAGCGCAGCGGCGTTTGACTTCGACGTGGAGAAACAGCTGCTGTCCGAGGCCTCGGCGCTGCACCAGCGCACCAGCGTGGCCGTCAAGCGCGAGGTGGGGATGTGCAGTAAAGACAGCTATTTGCCAAGGGTTAGCTTTGTGTGCTCTGAGTTGACACAAGCCACAGAAGCAGCTGCTGTCTGAGGCCTCGGCGCTGCACCAACGCACCAGCGTGGCCGTGAAGCGCGAGGTGGGCATTTGCTGTGAAGACAGCAAGTTGCAGAGTAGTTAGCGTTGTGTGCTTAAGTTGACTCCTTACACAGAAACAGCTGCTGTCAGAGGACTCAACGCTGCACCAACGCACCAGCGTGGCCGTGAAGCGCGAAGTGGGGCCTCGCATTGAGGCCAGATAGGGGTTTGGGGAGATGGAATTCGCACAGGCAGTGCACGAGAGTGGCAGTGCAGTGAGAGATGAAGGTATGCGAGCGAGGGCATGTGCAGACAGCTAGTCGCCTATTCCCTTCTTTTCTCCCTCTGCCTTGCTTCCTGTTGTCCCTCCTCCGTCCCGATCTTTCGGCCACGGCATCTCCTGCTTCCCTCAATGGGATGGTTCCCATGGATGGCACTTTGAACCACTAAGTACCTCAAGCATCTGTCCCACCTCCCCTGCCCCCACCTCCCCTTCCTCCACATCCCCTTCACTCACTTCCCCTTCCCTCACCTCCTCTTCCCTCACCTCCTTTTCCCTCACCTCCCCTTCCTTCCACACCCCCTCCCCTCACCTCCGCTCCCTCTCACCCCGACTCCCATCCACCTCCCCTCCCTCCTCTCTCCATCGGGTCTCACTCACATGCACCACACCCTTTCGCCTCCCCTGCCCCTTCCCTCGTCTCATCCTATCCTCTTAGGTGGACTCACGGGCCAGCAAGTACATAAACGTGGGCATGGGCAGAGAGGCAGTCGTGAGTATCCGACACCTGCCTGTGCCTCCCTTCCCCTCCTCGCGTCTCCTCTCTTCCCATCACAGGTGGATCCACGGGCCAGCAAGTACATACAGATGGGCATGGACAGGGAAGCAGTCATCATGGCACTTGCCATGCACGGTGACTCGCACTCGCAGGTACCAAGGAATACCGTTTGGAACAGGGATACCGCCCTTTCTCTCACTCTTGCACATTACCTTCTCCCCAGGAGTGCATGCTTTTGGAATGGTGGTATTCTGACCACTCACATTTCACAACCACCGAAGCTCCCTCATTTTCTGGCAGCAATGAGATGAGAGTGAGAAATGCTGTCACGTTCCCTGGTTGGTGGTCTTGCCACCACCCATGCCTGCGTTGCTGAATGGGGACCACTGTAACTTGTCCTGCCCATCTGCATGCCATCCGCATGCCACCCATGGCCCCATGCCCTCCGTGCTGCCAGGTGGTAGACTTCTGTCAGTCATAAATTTTGGTTCTTACCTGACCACCCATGTCCCCCATGTGCCCCCCCTGTGTCCCCCCTCCCCGCCCCCCTGTGTCCCCCTTCCCCGCCCCCCTGTGTCCCCCTTCCCCTTCCCCCTTTGTCCCCCTTTCCATCCCCCCTGTGTCCCCTTCTCCTCCCCTTGTCCCTTTTCCCCTGGGGTCCCCCGTTTTGCCCTTCTGTCCCTCTCCCCCCCCACCTCTTGTGCTCCCTCCCAGGTGGTGGATTTCTGCAATGCATACACGTTGCTAAGAGAGATGATGGGTTTTGAACCGGTCACCTATGACCTGTGTGTGGCAGGCAGCCTCTGTCCCCCGTGTGGCCCCATGTATGTGGCCTCCTTGTGCCCCCCATGTCCCCTTACCTCTTTTCCGCCAGGTGGTGGATTTCTGTAATGCATACACGCTGCTAAGAGAGATGGGCTTTGATCCGGTAGCCGTGGCGGGCTGTCTAGCGCTTTGCGGCAACGACCGCGACCGTGCGCTGCAGCTACTAGTCGCCTGAAGAAAAGGATATGTCATGTTGTGAACTATGTAAATATCAATAAAATCCATCAATGGATAATGCGTTTTTGTTGTTTCTGTTTTCTACATGTATAACCAAAAGACGGATTTTTATTCGCTGAAGATGGGTTCCCATTCGCCTCGTAGTCCGCCAAGATCGCAGGGCGTCGCCTCGGCGACCCTAGGAGCACGACAGAGCAGCATGCAGGTCTCGGCGACCCCGCACGGCGCAACGCGCTGCCTCCCCCGCCCACCACGCGGCACCCCCTCACTGCTGCTCCAGCTGGCGTCCTGCCCATCCCGCTCGCACTCCCCGGCCACCTGACCTTCCCGCCTTCCGCCGTATTTGCGCACCTCCCCGCCTTCCGCAGTATCTGCGCGCCTCCCCGCACCTTCCGCCTGCTCGTTCCCCGCCAGGATGCTGTGCGGTGCCCCGCCCCAGCGACCCGCGCGACCTCCCCGCACCTTCTGCCTCCCCGACCCGCGCGATGCTCGTCGGGAGCCTGGGAGCGCAAGCTTCCCGTTGCTCGCTCCCTCCGCGCGCCGCCTCGTGCCACACCGCCGTGCGCCTTACCGCCTCTTGTCTCCCCTGCCGACGAGGTCACACTCTCGTCTCGTGTCTGCCTGCGCGCACTTGCCTCCGTTCGTCGCATTCCTCCAGCCTCTCCTCTCGTCCCGCCTCCACTCCAGCCGTCCCCGTGTTGAGCCTCACCCGTTCGCTAATCGTGTTGGAGGTTGAATCGGTCCTCTCTTCCCTTCGCCTTACCTCCATCGCTCTCGTCACTGTCGTTTTCGCACTGAGCCGTCGCTTTCTCGCGAGGCAGCGACAGCAACCGTGTATCACGTTTAGCGACTCTCAACAGCGGTAGCAGCCTTGCGTCACTTCTAACGATTCTCGAGAGTGATAACAGGCTTCCGCGGAGAGCGGAGAGGAATAACACGGTGCGGCGGATATGGCGGCGTATGACACGTCACTAGGACAGCGAGGGATACTGGAAGAAGGGGGGCAGCAGCCACGCGGACCCGTTCCGCTCTCCACGTCAGCAGGCTCGCCGCCACGTGGACCCATTCCGCTGTCCACATCAGCAGGCTCGCCGCCACGTGGCGCTGTAGGAGGGTCACCCCCACGCGCCGCCGCTGGTCGCCCCGCGAGTCGCCCCGCGTGTGAGTTAGCATCAAGCACGGTGGGGCTTGTAACCTGGTAACCAAGTAACCCAACGCAAGAGGTGCCACTTCTGCCATGGTAGGCCAGTGGCGGTGGGCGGAATCGGGTACTTTGGCGTGTCGTGGTTTGGTGTGGTTGGTGGTGTGAGCAGCGTGCACTGCCTCCTGCAGTGACTCGTGCAGTGCGGCACTGCACAGGACCATAATCTTTCTGAGCGGGCAGTGGGGCAGCAGCAGCGTGACGGCACGGCACACTGCGTCCCGGGGTAAGGTGCTTTGCTCCAAGGCGCACGACTCTCTGCACGAGGCCCGTGTGCACGAGGCCACTCGCTCCCCCCTTGCCCTCCTACTCCCATCCAGCACCATCCTGCATCGTCTCGCTAGCCTCCATGCCCCTTCACGTACCGCCCTCCCGCCCGCCAATGCAAGCACACACACATGGCCCCTCGGGACCACCACACCGTGCATGCATGCAACAAGCCGCCACACACTCACTCGCTACCCTCCAGCCTCCCTCGCTCTACCTGTCACCTTACCCTCGTGCGCGTGCTCCCTCCCTCATAACCTTCATCCTCCCACATGCCGCCCTCCTCCGCCCTCCTGCTTGCCGCTTTTGCCTCAATCTGCCATCCCGTCCAATCAGCTCGCTCGGAGAAGCTGGCGGAGATGGGTGGCGGGCTGGGCGGCGAGACTCGGATCTTTGCGCGCGGGCAGACCATCTTCTGGCGGCTGCTACAGCTGACGACAGCTATCATCGCTCTGGCAGTCATGACAGCTTCAAATGCCAACGGCATGTACTTCCAGTACTACCAGGTGCGTGCTGCTGCTGGTGCAAGGTCCATGCCGCTGGTGTGGTGTGGTGCTACATCAGCAAGGTCCGTGGAACATTTGGCAACAGCTATCATCGCTTTGGCGGTCATGACTGCTTCAAATGCCAACGGCATGTACTTTCAATACTATCAGGTGCGTCCGGTGCTGCTGGTGCTGCTGGTGTTTTGCTGCTACTGCTTGCGACAGCTATCATCGCCCTGGCAGTCATGACGGCTTCAAACGGCAACGGCATGTACTTCCAGTACCAGGTGCGTGCTGCTGCTGGTGCTGCTTGCTGATGGTGTTGCTGCTACAGCTGGCTACAGCTAGCGACAGCTGTCATCGCGCTGGCAGTCATGACGGCTTCAAACGGCAACGGCATGTACTTCCAGTACCAGGTGCGTGCTGCTGCTGGTGCTGCTTGCTGATGGTGTTGCTGCTACAGCTGGCTACAGCTAGCGACAGCTGTCATCGCGCTGGCAGTCATGACGGCTTCAAACGGCAACGGCATGTACTTCCAGTACCAGGTGCGTGCTGCTGCTGGTGCTGCTTGCTGATGGTGTTGCTGCTACAGCTGGCTACAGCTAGCGACAGCTGTCATCGCTCTGGCAGTCATGACGGCTTCAAACGGCAACGGCATGTACTTCCAGTACCAGGTGCGTGCTGCTGCTGGTGCTGCTTGCTGATGGTGTTGCTGCTACAGCTGGCTACAGCTAGCGACAGCTGTCATCGCGCTGGCAGTCATGACGGCTTCAAACGGCAACGGCATGTACTTCCAGTACCAGGTGCGTGCTGCTGCTGGTGCTGCTTGCTGATGGTGTTGCTGCTACAGCTGGCTACAGCTAGCGACAGCTGTCATCGCGCTGGCAGTCATGACGGCTTCAAACGGCAACGGCATGTACTTCTATGTACTACCAGGTGCGTGCTGCTCGTGTGTGGGTGGTGTGCTGCTACAGCTGACGACAGCTATCATCGCTCTGGCTGTCATGACAGCTTCAAATGCCAACAACATGTACTTTCAATACTACCAGGTGCGTGCTGCTGCTGCCACGTCAGCTCGGTAATGCCAGGTCAGCACTGTGCTGCCAGGTGGATGGTGCTGGCAGCTGGTGGTGCATAGTATGCGTAGATGGAATACTGCTGCAGTGCTGCATTAGTGTTGTTGTGTAAATAAATACAGCATGCCGCCCACCCACTGCCACTACCACTGACATCTCAAGTCCCTCTTCCCCCATTCTTTCCCTTCTCTCCCCCCTCTCTTTCTCCACCTCACTACCACAGGCGTTCATATTCATGGTGGCGGCAATGACAGCGGTGGCAGCATGGTGCCTGGCAACTTATGAGACATCTGAACCTCCCCACCCCCCTCATTCCTCACCCCCCACCCCCGTCCCTCACACCCACCATGTCAAGCGTTCATATTCATGGTGGCGCTAATGACAGCGGTGGCAGCCCGGTGTCTGGCGACTTTGGGACGTCTGAAAGTCCTCTCTTTCCCACCTCCTCTCTCCCCTCTCCGTGACACCTTTCCTCCCACACCCCGCTCCACAGGCGTTCATATTCATGGTGGCGGCAATGACAGCAGTGGCAGCGTGGTGTCTCGCCCATCTGCTGCACTCCATCGGTCGCTTCATGACGCGCAAGTGGCGCATTACTCTCTTCGCCTTCCTCGAATTTGTCAGTGCCCTCATTGCCGCCCCTCCCCCTCGCCCCAATGCATTGCACTTATGATGCACCCATGCTCCAATGCACTCATGACCCGCAAGTGGCGCATCACGCTCTTCGCACTCCTCGAACTGAATTTGTCAGTGAATCCAGCCCCTTTTCCCCCTAGCCACAGTTCATGTGCCCTTCCTTTCCTGCGTGCCCCCTTTTTCTCGCCCCAAACCTCTTTGCTCCCTCTTCTGATCTTCCTCTCCTGCTCGTCCCCACCTCTGCCATATCCCTCCAGCCTTTGCTTTCGCCTTCCCAATATCCGTGACTCCTTGCCCTTTCGGCTTCGCTCATCGCAGCGCAACCCTCGTTGCAGCGCAACCCTCGGTGCAGCGCAACCCTCGTCGCAGCGCAACCCTCGTCGCAGCGCAACCCTCGTCGCAGCGCAACCCTCGTCGCAGCGCAACCCTCGTCGCAGCGCAACCCTCGTCGCAGCGCAACCCTCGTCGCAGCGCAACCCTCGTCGCAGCGCAACCCTCGTCGCAGCGCAACCCTCGTCGCAGCGCAACCCTCGTCGCAGCGCAACCCTCGTCGCAGCGCAACCCTCGTCGCAGCGCAACCCTCGTCGCAGCGCAACCCTCGTCGCAGCGCAACCCTCGTCGCAGCGCAACCCTCGTCGCAGCGCAACCCCCGTCGCAGCGCAACCCTCGTTGCAGCGCAACCCTCGTCGCAGCGCATCCCTCTACCCCCTGTTGCATGGCAAAAGCACGAGGTCAATCGTGCCATTCAAACCACACATGCGCACGTGTGCCTGACGACTGTTGGGGCGCCTTAATACACGCAAGCCAATCCCTCTGCTTCCCCCTGCTGCATGGCAAAAGCACGGGGTCACTCCTACCATCGAACCAAACATGCGCACACGTGTGCCTGGCGACTCCTGAGGCGCCTTAAAACACGCAAAACCATTCCCTCTGCACCCCCCTGCTGCATGGCACAAGCATGAGCTCTCTCTATTTACCCTCAACCACCCATCTGCATGTGTGCCTGACGTCACATGCTGGTTCACACCCCCTCTCCCTATACCCGTACATCCACCTCTCGCGCCCTGTCCTCCAATCAGCTCGTGACATGGATTGCTCTGGCTGGTGCCTCTGCTGCAGCGGGTCTCACCACCTTTGCCGACAAGGGGTCAGGGATGGTGCAGCCGGGGTACTGCCAGGTGAGGAGTGGTGCAGCCGGGGTACTGCCAGGTGAGGAGTGGTGCAGCCGGGATACTGCCAGGTGAGGAGTGGTGCAGCCGGGGTACTGCCAGGTGAGGAGTGGTGCAGCCGGGGTACTGCCAGGTGATGAGTGGTGCAGCCGGGGTACTGCCAGGTGAGGAGTGGTGCAGCCGGGGTACTGCCAGGTGAGGAGTGGTGCAGCCGGGGTACTGCCAGGTGAGGAGTGGTGCAGCCGGGGTACTGCCAGGTGAGGAGTGGTGCAGCCGGGGTACTGCCAGGTGAGGAGTGGTGCAGCCGGGGTACTGCCAGGTGAGGAGTGGTGCAGCCGGGGTACTGCCAGGTGATGAGTGGTGCAGCCGGGGTACTGCCAGGTGAGGAGTGGTGCAGCCGGGGTACTGCCAGGTGAGGAGTGGCGCAGCCGGGGTACTGCCAGGTGAGGAGTGGTGCAGCCGGGGTACTGCCAGGTGAGGAGTGGTGCAGTACTGCCAGGTGAGGAGTGGTGCAGCCGGGGTACTGCCAGGTGAGGAGTGGTGCAGCCGGGGTACTGCCAGGTGAGGAGTGGTGCAGCCGGGGTACTGCCAGGTGAGGAGTGGTGCAGCCGGGGTACTGCCAGGTGAGGAGTGGTGCAGCCGGGGTACTGCCAGGTGAGGAGTGGTGCAGCTGAGGTACTGCCAGGTGGGTCAGGCAGCTGAGGTACTGCCAGGTGGGTCAGGCAGCTGAGGTACTGCCAGGTGGGTCAGGCAGCTGGGGTACTGCCAGGTGCGTTCCCGCACGCCCTCAGATTGGTTCTGGTGCAGGCTGAAAATCTTGCGACATTTAGCAGTTTTTTTATGACTTTTGAGGTGCCTCAAAAGACATTTAGCAGTTTTTGTTGCCCAAAATGAGTGGAAATTGACAGAAAGGAAGGCCACATTAGCGGGGAATGGCTGGCTACATTGTTGTCATCTTGGGCCATTCTGTGTTCACTCTTCCACACGCTTCTCATGGTACCTGTTTTTGAGTCGACTCAAAAACTGGCTGGCTAGATTGTTGTCAGCTTTATGCTCCTTGTAACTGTTGCTTGCTTCATCCCTTGTTGCATCTTGGGCCATTCTGTGTTCACTCTTCCACACACTTCTCATGGTACCTGCACTGCACTATGTCCTCCTCTCACCCAAACTGCATGCTCTGCGTTCCCCTGCATCTCCCCCCCTCCACGGCCCCTGTGACCACAGATGGGCCTCTTCTCCAGCTTCTGTGCGACTTTTGAGGCGCGTAAGGCACCAAGGCCGCCACCACCTGTGCTTTCACCCAACCTTCATGTGCTGCTCTACCCTGCCTGCCGCATTGCCCCCCTTTCCCCCCCTCTCACTGCTGGTCTGTGCTACAGATGGGTCTCTTCTCCAGCTTCTGTGCGCGCACCAAGGCTGTCACCGCCTTTTAGGCGCCTCAAACATATGCCCCACTGCCCCTGCATGCCCCACCCCTGCTGCCCGTCTTCTGCAGATGGGCCTCTTCTCCAGCTTCTGTGCGCGCACCAAGGCCGCCACATCTGTGCTTTGACCGTAATGTGTGCACTGCTCTCCCCTCCCTGCCTGTCTGCCTCTTACCTGCCTGCATGCCCCACCTTCCCTGCCCCTGCCCGCACAGATGGGACTCTTCTCCAGCTTCTGTGCGCGCACTAAGGCCGCCACTGCCATGGCTTTCATCACCTTCTTCGTCCTAATCCCCACACTGATTGCTTCCGCCACGCGCGCCGTCGTCAGCTGGTTCGAAGACTAGCGCTGTCTTGCACCTTGCGCCTCGGCACCTCCTGTGTCGGTTACCTAGCTTGCTTGCTTCGTGCACAACAAACCTTCCGTAGTTTTAGTGCACTCAAGTGCTCTTCCCTTTCTAACACTGCTACACCCAGCTTAAGGAAACGTTGTGCTAGAGGACACATTTGATTGCTATGGAGATGTGATGCGAGATTAGTAGCTTGTTGTTTATGTGCAGAAAGATGTTATCCATTCCACTCCCAAGAGACACGTGCGTGTGGTGCTCCAAGTGTGTAATGAAGCCGCCAAAGCTGCTATAGGTACGTAGGTAGGAAGCTTCACTCCGGCGGAGCAGTGAAGATGCTATCACATTGCAACCTTAACAAATAACCAGCTACGACAAGGTGCAGCAGCGTCAAAAAGAAACAGAACAAAACACATCGAGCAATCCAACCAAGCAAGCATGCGTAGGCTGGGCACACCCAGTGTGTCCCTGACGTAGCCTGGGTGAGGGGCGCAGTCCTGCCCCTCTCACGGGTTCTGCAGCGCGTTCTTTAGCTTCTTGCTCCCCTTGGGCTTCTCCAGTGGCTTGTCCATGCCTGCCATCTTGTTGTTGTACCGCGCCCTCAACGCGTCGTTGTACGCCCACCTGCCATGGGAAGCGGGGGGGCAGCAGGGGTATTGCGGAGGTGAGGCATGGGAGACATGTTGTGTGTGTGCCCCCTAGGGCATCTCCAGCGGCTTGTCCATCCCTGCCATCTTGTTGTTGTACCTCGCTCGTAGCGCATCGTTGTACACCCACCTGAGAGGGGGGAAAGACAAAGAAAGGGCACAGAGGTGTGGAGGTGAGGCATGGAAGCCATGCGTGTGTTTCCCCTTGGGCTTCTCCAGCGGCTTGTCCATCCCCGCCATCTTGTTGTTGTAGCGCGCCCTCAACGCGTCGTTGTATGTCCACCTGGCAGACACAGGGGAAGGGGCACGGGAGATGTGGAGGTGAGGCATGGGAGAAAAGACCATGTGTGTGTTCCCTCCCTTGGGCTTCTCCAGTGGCTTGCCCATCCCTGCCAGCTTGTTGTTGTAGCGTGCATTGTATGGGTTGAGGGGGCAGTGTGGGGTTGAGGGGGCAGTGTGGGGTTGAGGGGGCAGTGTGGGGTTGAGGGGGCAGTGTGGGGTTGAGGGGGCAGTGTCGGGTTGAGGGGGCAGTGTGGGGTTGAGGGGGCAGTGTGGGGTTGAGGGGGCAGTGGGGTTAAGGTGGTAGTGTGGGGTTGAGGCGGGAGAGATGCGTGTGTAATGGTTCAAAGTTTGAAAGCAAGCATGTGCGGAATGCGGAAGCAATGATGACAGTGAAGCGGACAGGGGATGGGGGCAGGGCGAGTGGGGGCAGAGGATGGGGGGTCAGGGAGTGGGTATAGGGAGTGGGTGTAGGGAGTGAGTGTAGGGAGTGGGGGCAAGGAATGAAGGCAGCGGTGAGGGCAAGGGCGGGCAGGGGGTACTAACGGGGAGTCTTGCTGGGTGGTGTCCTCGTTGACCAGATGCGTCCACTTGCTCCTCCCACTGCGCCCAAAGTGCTTCACCTGCTCTCACCGGACAGCACCGCACAGCACAGCAAAGCACAGCAAGGCACACGGGAACATGGGAACACGTAGACAAGGGGACGAGATGAGAGAGTTAAGGTGGTGAGGAAAGGAAATGAAGTGACAGTGGCACCTCACCACCACTCCCCACCATTCCCCACCACTTCCCCACCAGTCCCCACGATCACACCTCCCCCCAACCACCCCCCCAACCAGACCAACGCCACTCACCTGCATGGCAGAAGGCAGCACGCTCTTATCCAGCCGGTCCTCCCCAGTCGCCTCTGAGTATCAACACCAGGCAGCACGCCCGCCTGTATGCATGGCATCGCATGCCTCACTCACCCACGGCGCTCACCTGAATGCATCGAATGCTCCCCTGCTGTCCCTCACAGCTCACTCACCTGCATGGCGGAGGGCAGCGCGCTCTTATCCAGCCGGTCCTCCCCAGTCGCCTCCGAGTAATCTATCGCATAGATCTCATCCGTGCCGGCCGTGCCCGCCGTGACACCCCACCTCCCCCCACCTTCCCCCGCACCTGACTAACGCCGCTTCCGCTCACCTGCATGGCGGAGGGCAGCACGCTCTTATCCAGCCGGTCCTCCCCAGTGGCCTCCGAGTAATCCCGCGCATAGATCTCATCCGTGCCGGCCGTGCCGCCCTTGTCGTCCGCGCCCGCCTGGAAGAACGCGCCCTTGTGATAATATTTCTGCATGAACTTCCATTTTGTTTTTGTCTTGCCCGCAGGCGCCGCCTTGGGGTTGCGTCGCTCCCACTCGCGCCGCTCCTCCTCGGTCATGCGCGCCAGTTTCTCGCGCTCCTCCTTCTCCCGCGCGACCGCGTCGCGCTCCTCGCGCTCGCGCCGCACGCGCGCCTTCTCGCGCGCGCGCCACCGCTCGAACTCCTCCTCCGCGTCTGTCTCGTCGTCCGTCTCCACGTCCTCCGCCGCCGCGCCCGCGCCGTCCCCGTCCGCTCCGCCGCCGCCGTCCTCCGCGCGCCGCTGCTCCTTCTCCTCCTCGCGCCGCACGTCGTCCACCACGAGCCGCCGCGTCTCCGCCTTGCGCTCCTCCACGCGCCGCCGCACCGCCTCCTCTAGATCGCGCTCCTCCTGCTCCACGCGCTCGCGCTCCGCAACCGTGTCGCGCTCGCCCTTGGGAACGAACACAGGTTTAATCATCGCCATACCGCCCCCTTCCTCCTCCGAATCTGTCTCATACTCTGACGATTCCTCCTCTTCTTCCTCCTCTTCCTCCTCCTCCTCGCCCTCTCCCAGCGCTGCTAGCTCCTCCTCTTCCCTCTGCCGCTGTAATAGCCTCTCGCGTATCCTACGCCGTCGCTCTTCAATCGCGTCTTCATCCTCCTCTTCCTCCTCCTCCTCCTCGCGCTCCTGCTGCTTCCGCTCCTCCTCCTCCCGCGTCGAGACAATTTCCGCCGCCCGGATCTCCCGATGCCGCGCCACGGCCTCCTCCCTGTCGCGCCGGCTTTCTCCTAATCGGCGCAACCGCGCGTCGTTCTCGGAAACCCTAACGCGCGTCAGTCGGTCGCCGATTTCCTCCCGCTCGTCCTCCGGTTCCCCGAACACGCCCCCGCGCGCCTCCTCCGCGTCGTCCGCCCATTCCGGCGCCTTTCCTGGCCAGTACCGCTTCACTTTCGTCTGCGCGATCCTTCCGCGAAGCTTCTCTCGAATCGCGATCGCCGCATCGCTAACGCCTGCCGCCACCGACATGGCGGGAAGCGAGCGCGCGGTGAAGAATGAGGGGAGGGGGGAAAGGAGGAACGAAACAAACCCTAATAAAGAGGCGGTTCAGAAGATGCGTCAACTGTCGTGGTTTGTCAGAATCAGCGAGGGTTTCTACAACACCCTTTCAAACGGATAGCTCCTTCTTTGGTCCCTAGCCCAAGTCCCTAAACTATCGGCACCACTTGTGGCTGTTGAGGCGCTCGAAGGTAATTATAGGTACCGCTGGCTACTGATGCCGTCGACTGATCTTGGTACACCTGATGCTCGTTAGAGCCCCTCCCGGTTGCCTTGTGCTCCGGGACTGTAAGCTAAAGCGCATTTCACTTGGGGTTCGTTCGTTTCGTCAGGCCCAGAACGTGCTTCAAAGCTGCACGTGGTAACCACCCTGTTTGTCCGATTCGTAACAGTACGGGTTTGCACCACTTGTCCTTCTTGTGTGCTCAGAGTTACTAAACGAGCGCAACAGTACCGAAACAAGCATGCACATTAATTGTTCTTCATAGTACAAAACAACCAACACATATACAACATCCAATCAACACCCCCCACCTGGCCCCTCATATCCATTCATCACACAAAACGAAACAAGCACAATTGAGCACAAGGATTGATCACTTGTGCACTTCAAAATTCACTCGACACATTGCTGGGTCTGCTCCACCCCCCTTCACAGACGCATCCACTCCGCCGCCTCCACATACCCGTCCATCACGGCGCCCACCCCGGCGTCAAGCAGCTGCTGACGGCGGGACGGACGGGTCATCCAGACGGGAAGCACACGGCCCCGCGGACGAGGGGTCTCGGGCGTGGGAGTTGCGCCGGGGGAGGGCACGGGCTGAGGCGCCACGTTCAGGTTGAACGAAGGGCTAGCCCGCTCCATCCGCACGACTATGATTGGATTGCGGATGTCGAACAGATGGCACAGATCGCGCGGCGTGATGCGAGTGGCCCGTGCGTACCCGATAATCATCTCACACGCCGCACGAGCAGTGCGGCGTGCTTCACGGCCCACGGGGTCGGCGTCGTCGTAGACGGCCTGCATGGTCGTCGGCGCCTGCCACAGCTCCACCTCCACGCCCACCTCCGCCTCAGTGGGCGCAGGTCCCGTAGCGCCTTCGGCGCACGTTGGCTCCCCGTCGTCGATGGCGACGTACTCGGCTGCCGTCATCGCCGCATTCCCAAGCGCCAGCCCGCTAATGAGCGTCCCGACATCGTCGATGTTGTCGTCGAGCTCGATGTCGGGGTAAGCGGCGGGGGTGGGCTCGTCGTCGTGTACGTGCGTCAGGTCCATACTCGACGAAAAGGGAAGACACCCCGTGCGTCACCAGCACCGTTGAATGGTGCGCGCGCCGACGGAGGTCCACGCGTCCGACAGCCACGCGAGGACATCGCGCAGGTTCGGGCGGAAACGCGCCACCGCGGACGTCGCGCTGTCTTCGTTCCACAAAGCCGAGAAGGCCCGCAGCCAGTGCTGACGGTAGCGGGCCTTTGCGGTGGCGATAATCCCCTGATCCAGCGGCTGTGTGAAGGCGGTGGTATTCGGCGGCAGGAAGACAAGCCGCACGTTGCTCATGCAGGTCGTCCGCATGCCGCAGACGATCTCGCTCCATGCGACCTGGGAGCGGAGCATGTGGCTGCTCGCGTTGTCGAGCAAAACGACGATCTTGCGGCCTTCGGCGTACATCGCAGCATTGAGTTGCGAGATGAAATGTGTGAATAGCTGTGGGCCGGGAAGGGATGGGAGGGCGGAATGCACGGGGAACAATGTGAGCATTAGTAATGAATGGCGATTTAAGAACAATACGAGTACTTTGTCACGCGGTGCAAAAGCACCCGCAATCTATATAAAATTTCATGCTTACCGGCGAGGTCATCGAGCCTTTGGCGTTGTGCCGCCAGTAGCATAGCGCTTCGGGGTCATAATCCGGCCGGAAATCGTGCGGCCGCTTCGCCTTGCTTATCACGAGCGGCCGGAATGCATGGCTCCCGTCCGCATTCACGAGGAATGCGACGGTCAGTCGCTCCTTAGATACTTTGCGGCCGGGAATGCGGCCGCTGCTGTACGTGCGCCGCGGAAGCACGCTCAGCCAGAGCGCCGTCTCGTTGAGGTTGAGGTTGAGGTTGCGGCAGCTTCTCACGTGCTTCGCGAACGGCGGCCATGTCCGCGCTAGCCGCCTCGCCTTGAGCCGCACGGCACCTCACCCCCTGGCGCCGCAGGGCACGGCGCACCCAGCCGATGGAGCAGCGGAAGGTGGGCGGGATGCCCATGGTCCTCGCCATTCCCGCGACATGGTCGCGGATGGTCTGGAGAGTAAGGGGCACGCCAGCGGGCCCGGCGTTTGCGATCCACCGCGCCATGGCCTCCTCCAGCTCAGGCCACGCGCCTCCACGACGGTGCACTTGGTTGTCCCCTGTTGCGGTGACGGCCCATCGCTCGGCGCTCTTCAAGATGCGGCCGACTGTGGAGCGATCCGGCCGCAGTCCGTACTGCGAGTAACACCACCTCGCAAGGTCCACATGACGCAGGCGGGGGTTTTCGACGTGGTAGGCGCAAAGCGCGCGCTTGATGTGGAGGGGGAGCTGCTCCCGTCGATTAAAACGGGGCATTGTGTGAGGCTGGGGTGTGAGATAATGCTGACTTAGTGAATGCGAGGTCATTTTATCGTGGGATGGCGGGGTCCAATGCTGGCTAGGTTGGGCCTCGTTCTTTGTGGCTTGTGACATCTGTGTGGTTGGTGTTCGTTCCATGCACCTGGCTTGGACATTTGATCTTAGGTGTTGGTAACCATACGTTCAGAAGTCTGACGTGGGGTGTGCGAACTGTCAAAGGTCCACTGGTGATCCCCGATTGATCCTAGGGAAGGGTTACAGGCACGGCGGCCTGGGGGGTTATGGGCGCACTCACCCGCTACACAAACAAGCCCTTTTATCCCAGTGGTTAGTGGCTGGGATTCTGACATGGTATCAGAGCGAAGGTCTCGGGTTCGAATCCCGGTGTGTGCACCTCGGGCATCCCAGTGCGGGGGGGTGTCAAAGGTCCACTGGTGATCCCCGATTGATCCTAGGGAAGGGTTACAGGCACGGCGGCCTGGGGGGTTATGGGCGCACTCACCCGCTACACAAACAAGCCCTTTTATCCCAGTGGTTAGTGGCTGGGATTCTGACACGAACAACGCCTGGCTGTAAATGAGCTTGTACCCAACACAGGCAGGAAACACGTGGCATCGTGCATCTGCCCAGATTGTCTGTTACACGCACGATGATCCTCGCTTGCGTGGCTGGGCAGAGGGGCGAATGCGTTCACGAAACCCAGTTAGTTTCGTCCATTCATTTCGCCATTCTGACCCCTGGCCTGGAAACAAGGCGCTTCAGGGTCGGCTTCGCTTGTTCGGGAACTGCAGTGCTCAACTGCCCAAGTCGCATGTACTGTTGCCTGCCACCCAACGTGCCTGTACTGTGGGAGCAGCAAGCGGGGGTTTTCTGCTCGGGGGCAGCGTTTCCATCCGGTGCAGGGCAATTTCGCGTGCAGGGGGTGAGCATCAGCTGTACCGCAGGGCCCTGCTTGCTGTGCGAGGCGCGTTGCGTAATGAAAGAATGCAGGCCCCACGATATCAGGGCAAAACATCCTGATTACCCTGATTTCAGGATGCAGTTTTGAATTTGCCCTGTAATTTCAGAATAGTCTCACTTTTATCCCTGTGGTCTCAGGATGATGTTATATGAAATGCCCTGGAAATTCAGAATGGCTGTGGTGTTCTTCCCTGTATCGTCAGGATGAATGTCGAGGCTTGCCCTGACGCGTTTTTTTAAGGGGCGGGGAGGGGGGGGGGGGGGGGGGGGGGGGGGGGGGGGGGGGGGGGGGGGATGGGGGGGAGAAGGTTTCCCGTTCCCGAGGATTTTTTCCCCCGGGAAATTCTGCCCCGCGGATTGGTTTCCTCGGGAATTTTCTCGCCTTTGCACGATTTCTTCTGCAGTTCCGTTCCGAATCTCCGCGTCGCACCAGCCAAGCCAAACCCATCAGATTGGGAAACAGGTTAGGCAAGGCAACACCCCTGTCTCGCCTTGTGCCATGCTTGCTAGGGAGTAAGACTACAAGCTTGCTAATGCTGGTCCCACTACAAGTGCTAAAAACAGAACCCTGAACACTCGTTTTTTAGCCCTGACAGGTTAGGATAAATTTCTGCAAAAGCCCTGAAACTACAGGAAGCATTTGAAAATCTGCCCTGACAAATCAGGGTTTTTTTGCAGATTCTGGAAAGTTGCCCTGAGGCCTCAGGATGCCCCAAAACCTAGCACGAGCCCTGAAAGAATGCACTCTGCTTGCTGCGAAAGGTTCGGTTTTGCGTTGTTCGCTTGGAATATATCTCGTGTATTATCTTGGAATACAAAATGGCTGCAGCTATAATGTCTTACGTTTATTTACTCCGCTTTGTTGCATCGCTTTCTTAGAGTATGAATGCCATATCAATGGGACTATTGTCCTGTCTATCACGAGCACTCCATAACGTGTACATTTAGATGGCCAGTGACCTCGTCAGCCCAACCATTCCCGAATCCTCGTATAATCCACACAGCGCACGAATTGCTTTCTGTGTGCACTATCGCGATATGGACCGTCCGTTCGGCGCCGCCGCACATCTCGCCTCCGCGCACCCTAGTATCTGCGCGCGTTGCGCTCCCCTCTTGTCCTTTTCCCCTGCTGCCGCTCGCTTCCACCACGAGCACACCCATGCCTGCCCGCTCCCCCCATCCACCTCCGCCCTCTCCCCCACTTTCGTCGCACGCGTCGCCAGGCGAAAGTTATCCCCTCGTCGATGTCGCGCGCCAACTGTCACGGCGACAGCGGGCAGCGCGGCGGCGAGCAGCGACGACGAGAGCGAGGGCGGGGGGCCCGCGGGGCGGCGCGCAGCGATCGACGTGGAGGGGCTGAGCCTGAGCCTGGGACGCGCGCAGGTGCTGCCGTTGCGAGTTTTAGCCCTCACGACTGTAGCATTTCCAGCCTTCGTTATTGCTGCCTTCGCGAGTGTAGCCTGCGCGTGCCTGAGGGGCAGCTGTGGATGCTGCTGGTTCTTTCAGTGAATGCGACTTATCAGGTCTACGATTAAACGAACTCTTTGTTATCGTTGCGCGCAAATGCAGGTTCTGCGCGAGTGTAGCCTGCGCGTGCCAGAGGGACAGCTGTGGATGCTGTTAGGGCCCAACGGGTGTGGCAAGTCAACGCTGCTCAAGGTGGGAGAGAGAGAGAGTCAACCTTAGTCAAGGAGCGAGAGAGATTCAGTGCTGGTTTAGGTATAAAAAAGAGTCATCAATGATAACGGATTTGGCCACGCACTGTGAGCAGGCCCCCTCCTCGTTGCTCCTACTCCTCCCTCTCCAATCTCCTGTCCCATCCTCTCTCCCTGTTCAGATTCAATACGACTCTCCGCTCCGGTCTCCTACCCCATCCACCTGCTGCCCCAACATGCATCATGCCCGCACTCCTCTACACCATGCCTCACCACTCTGCACCGTGCTGTCCCCCCCCTTCCCCCCAGCAGGTACTAGCGGGGCTGCTGCAGCCCAACAGTGGGCGGCTGAGAGTGGACGCACCTCGCTCCTTCGTATTCCAGAACCCCGACCACCAGGTGGGTGCCACGTGGGTGCCAGGTGACTGGCAGATGCGTGCCAGGTGACTGGCAGGTTGCCACCAGGTGAGTTCAGGTGACCACCAGGTGAGTTCAGGTGACCACCAGGTGAGTTCAGGTGACCACCAGGTGAGTTCAGGTGACCACCAGGTGAGTTCAGGTGACCACCAGGTGAGTTCAGGTGACCACCAGGTGAGTTCAGGTGACCACCAGGTGAGTTCAGGTGACCATCAGGTGAGTTCAGGTGACCACCAGGTGAGTTCAGGTGACCACCAGGTGAGTTCAGTTCAGGTGACCGACTGGCAGCACCAGGTGAGAGTGAGGTCTGGCTGCGAGTGGTTGATGGGCCATTTCTTTCTGTTCGTTCCCCTTTCCTGAACCCTGCCTCTGCCGTCTCAGACCCTCACCCACCTCTTTTCCCCACCACCTGTCCATCCATACCCCTCCACTCCCAACCCCTCCCTCCACCCACTCGGCCCTTGCCGCCTGCCAGGTCATCATGCCAACTGTGAATGCTGACGTGGCGTTCGGTCTAGGGCGGCTGAACCCGCCGTTGCCAGAGGAAGAGGTGCAGCGGCGCGTGGCAGAGGCCCTGGAGGCCGTTGGGATGGCGGAGTATGGACAGGTGAGCGGAGGCAGGTGAGGGCGGTTTGGGAAAATGGGTGAGAGCAGTGGTCCTCCCCACTCCACCTCTCCAGCTCCCCTGCGCCTATGTCAGTCAGTCATTTGTGGCCAGGAGCAATGCGTGCCATGCCACTACCAGGGCTGTCGATCTTTACCCCAGTACCATCTGCTGACAATCGTCATTTTCTCTCTGTTCCCCTCATTGTTCGTCTCCCCGCCAGCGCCTGGTGTCGACGCTGAGTGGGGGGCAGAAGCAGCGGGTGGCGATAGCGGGAGCCCTGGCGGAGGATTCACACACACTTCTGCTGGACGAGCTCACCACCTTCCTTGACTCCGCTGACCAGGTCAAACCCCCTCCCTCCCTGCTGCCGCCTCCCTGCCAACTCCTCCGTGCTTTCTCTGTTCTTTCTCTGTGCTTGCCTGAGCATCCCCTCACACACACGCTGCTGCTGGACGAACCCACCACCTGCCTCCACTCCGTCGTCCAGGTCAGTCCCTGCTTCTTCCTCCCTGCCAATTCCTCTGTGCTTGCCTGAGCATCCCCTCACACACACGCTGCTGCTGGACGAGCTCACCACCTTCCTCCACTCTGCTTACCAGGTTAGCCGATCCCGCTTTCTCTGCCAACTCCTCCCTGCTAACATGTCTGTGACATGCGTGACTGCAGCATGTGACATGTGTGACTGCAGCATGATTCAGCATGCCTTATACGTTCCATTTATCTTGCTCCCCTCATCCTCCTCTCCCTGTCTCCCACGCCAGTACGCAGTCATCAAGGCAGTGCGCAATGTGGTGTCAGGCAGCTCCCCAGGCAGCAGCAGCAGCAGCACAGACAGTGGCAGCAGCAGCAGCAGCAGCAGCTACAGCAGCAGCAGAAGCAGCAGCAGCAGCAGCAGCAGCAGCAGGGGGCGGGGGGGGCGGAGGGTGACAGCGCTGTGGGTGACGCATCGGCTGGAGGAGCTACAGTTTGCAGACGGGGCGGCATACATGGATGGCGGCAGGGTGGTGGTCATGGGGTCCGTGCCTCATGTTGTGGACTACATCACCCGCCAGCAGCAACAGCAGCAGGCTGCCACTGCAGGGTCCTTCTGGTCTGCATTTGGTCCCACCTGAGTGAGTGTTCTTTGGATGCAGAACAGGCCCTCTGGTTGCAGTGTTGCAGACCAATTTGATATGAGGGGATTTGTATTCGCATTTACAACGCCTTCTATTTTGTCCTAGTCGAATTAGCTGGTTTTGACGTCTGTTAAATCAGAGAAATAGACAAAACCTGGAACATTCTAAGAACAGGATCCTTTTAGGACCTGTGTGCCAAGCCAATAGGGAAAATATGCCACAAGTAACAATCATGTGACCTCGTAACGTCAATGGTAAAAAAAAAACACGCAAACATACACTATAAGTGAGGTGTGACATGTATCTAAAAACAGGTGACCTAGATGAGCAATAAACATTCCTCCAAAGTACGAAGCTCATGATTCTCTAAAGGATTTGGGTAACTTGACAGATGGTGAGCTCCCTTGTGATCAATCACCTCGTTTCTTATAAAGCTATTGTGTTCAAGTCAAGGACAAAAGACTTGTCCATCATTATTCAAATCCAGATTTAAAACGAGCAGAAACCTTATAGAGGGAAAATCGCAAAGTCTGTTTGCCCATTTGAATCTCCACAGCACAAAACGGCAATCCCAGAGGTTGCTGATTTGAATCTAGCAGCCGAATTTGAACGCACAGCCCTCCATTTGCTGAGCCACTGCGACAATCCCGGAAGACCCTTTTCATGGCGATGTACGATTGATTTGCGAAAGGCTTTTGCGAACAGACGTGTTTTCTCTTACCAAGGTTGTAACAATAGCTTCACAGAAACGGCTGTGGAAACAGTGGCGGGAAACTGCTGCGCCTCGACGTACTCAAGAACCTCAAACGCACCGACACCGAGAGAACATCCCCACACCTCCCACCCCGCTGATTTTGCCTGACGCGGTTCCACCACAATTCCGAACCTGAACCCCCAGCGAAAGACGCTTTGAGATCCGTCCACACGCCTATTGTTTTTCCACCGTTAGATTCGTGTGACGTGGCACGTTATTGAGTAGACAGCGGAGCAGGCCGAGGCTGGAACTCCAATGGTCAGGCAGACGAGGCTTGTGGGCGTGGGGACGAGGGTTGGCGAGGGCAAGGCCGGAGTGCAGGAGAAATGGGGTCCCTTCGGTTGGATCTAATCATTCTCAACTCCTCAGAGCTTTCCTTGTTGGATTGGAAACTTGAAAAGGGCATCTCAACTCTGCTACCTCTGCATCAGCTACCGACCTTACTGTTCAACACCTTCCAGCGATCAGCCTTTGTCAGACGATCTCTCGACCGCCCAGTAATGGCAATCTATGCTGATAACTTCGCTGCTAACTCTGCTTTTCAAACCTCGAGCAGTCCTGCAACGCCTACCAGAGGCATTGGCAGGTTCAGAACCCCTCGGACCGTCTTCTCGCCTGCAGCGTACTCTCCTGTCAAGTCTGCTGCTTGCAACGGCAACGGTGAGACATTCTGCAGCAACGTGCTTCTGAAGAGCGTGAGGCCGCTGCTGGAGAAACTGGCTTCCCGCGTCGCTGACGGGCAGCACCAGCCCGCCAAGGTGCACGTTGTAGCTGACGCGCCTGATGTGAAGCGGCCTGGAATCGGCCGCTTCGGAGGCAAGCCTGCTGCTGCCGTGGTTGCACGTGTGGTCGTCCCTGCTGCTCCCTCACCATCTGCTGCTGCTGCTGCAGTCGCACCGTCTGCTGTGGTTGCGCTTGTGCTGGTGCCTGAGGTAGCGCCTGTGGCTCCAGTGGCTTCAACCACACCAAAGGTGCCTGAAGCGAGCGTGACAACAGAAACAATATCCGAGGAGGCATGTGCACTTGCTGCAGATTCGAGTGAGAAAGCGAGGTGGTTGAAGCTGCGTGACGAGGTTCAAGCTATGAATATTGCGCTGACACGTGCTGCTTACCTGAGGTGGGACAAGCGGAGCAAGGAGCCATCATGGGCCATGGAGATTGAAGCGGCCATTGAAGCCGCCCTGCGTCCCTGCTTCTTGCCCAAGCATCCTAATGCTGTGGCGAATCTGACTCGCAAAACCGTGCCTCCTGCGTCTGCAGCAGCAGCGGCTGTAGCAGTGTCCGCAGCACCAGCTGCTCCCTCACCCGCAGCTACAACAACAGTGGAGTCACCTGCTGCGGCCTCATCAGTGAGAGAAGCAGCAGCAGCAGCAGCACCAGCACAAAAGCCAAAGCCTGCTGTTGCAGCAAGGTGCAAGGTGGGGGTTGAAAGTGCGAAGGGCAAGAATGGGTGCAGCAGCAAGGTGGTGAGCATGGGTGTGAAGGGTGGTAAGGCCAACAACAATGATGCAAGCCCTGCCCCATGTGGTGCAGCAGTTGCTGGGTCACGTGGTGTTGCATCATCAGTGAGAGCAGCTGGCAAGGCCAGCAGCAGGCAGGCGAGTGGGGTGAAGAGGAGATAGGGGGGTGTGTGTGGGGAGGGAGCAGCAGGGAGGGCAGCAGGTGGAAGGCAGGGTGGTGTGAAGGCAGCAGGTGGCAGAGCAGTGGCAAGTGGCGTGTGTGGCAGGGAGGGGGTGAAGCAGCAGGCGGGGAGGAGAGAGGCTTTAATGCGTGAGAAGCAGCCAAGGCTAGGCTACAGCAGCAGCAGCAGGGCGCACAGAAGGAGCTCCTGAAAGAGCCCTCATAGCCATGCCGGCCATAGCAATGGCTGCTCTCAGCATGAGAACATCCCTTAGGAACATGGGCTGTACATACATGGGTACAACACTGAAGGGTGTGCTGGAATCACTCCCAGCTGCTGTTGGGTTATGTATTGACTTCCTGGAAGTATGATGTACATTGTATATTGGTAGGAATTGTCAATGCCTAGAATTATACATAAATAATCAATTCTCTGTTTGATCTGGGTGAAAGGAGTGCAGTTCGTGTAGAAGAATGCAGCAATTCGCTAGAGCACTGGATCACTACTACTATGTACCGTAGTTCAACACACAGAGGTAACTTTGGTACATTAGTTGATGTAGCTGGTGCTGGCGCTGATGGTGGCGCAGGCGCTGGCGGCTGGCGGCTGCGCTGGCGTCTGCGCTGGCGGGCCGCGCTGGCGCTCGCGGCTGGCCGTGGCGCTGGCGTCCGCGCGGGGCGACGAAAGGGGGGCGCGGGGCGACGAAACGGGGGCCGCGGGCGACGGGAACGGGGGGCCGCGGGCGACGGGAACGGGGGGCCGCGGGCGACGGGAACGGGGGGTCGCGAGCGACGGGAACGGGGGGCCGCGGGCGACGGGAACGGGGGGGCCGCGGGCGACGGGAACGGGGGGCCGCGGGCGACGGGAACGGGGGGCCGCGGGCGACGGGAACGGGGGGCCGCGGGCGACGGGAACGGGGGGGCCGCGGGCGACGGGAACGGGGGGCCGCGGGCGACGGGAACGGGGGGGCCGCGGGCGACGGGAACGGGGGGGGGGGGGGCCGCGGGCGACGGGAACGGGGGGCCGCGGGCGACGGGAACGGGGGGAAACGAGCGTGCGGACGGGCAGGGCAGAGCGCGCGCGGACGGGCGGACGGAAAAGAAATGGCGCATTTCGCGCTTTAGTATAGGCGGGCCCATTATCTTTAAGAGAAACGAGGTCCTTAGACCGTCATAGGCTCTGATAGCATGTTAAAATAGTAGCTAGTAGAGACTAGGGTTTAGGAGAGAGAGTTGGCCAAAAGAGGGCTGACATTGAGAAGTGACGAGAGAGTTATACAAGGAACAACCAAGAGGTGCACCACCTAACAGAAATGTAACACCATTATACTTATAGCTAGACTTGTATGCAGTTATAATAACATAACTCGGACAGTTGAGATCTTCAAAGCAGAAGGTCCCAGAGGATCATGTGTATATTGATAGCTGCGAATGGAACAACTCCCAGCTGCTGTGTTAAACATCTTGCCACTATCATCCCCCTGTGCCACATGGGAACGAGGTGAATGGGTGCATGAAAGAATGGGTGCAAGGGAGCATGGGTGCATTGGTGAACGGGTAAATGGGTGAACGGGTGTATGGGTGGGTGCATGGGTTCAGGGTCAGAAATCAAACAAGGTATGGGGCAGATTGATGAAACTTCAAATCTCAAGTGTGCATGGGTGTGTGGTTGCATGGGTGCATGAGTGGATGGGTGTATGAGTGCTTACTTGCATGGGTGCATGTGCCACATAGCAGATGCAAGGCATGGGGTTTAGGAGGACCTCGGATGGAGGGCAGCAAGGACAAAGAGCGTTTCCGGAGTGAAGTAATTGCTTCCCAAACGCGGAGGTGAAGTATATGAGAGAGGAGTGAGTATGGGGAGTGGTGTTAGGAGGAAGGGAAAGAACGGAAGGAGCGGAGTCATGAGCGAAGAAAGCGAGGGGATGCGTGAATTGTCAGAATGTTATGTTTGTCTAGCCTGCAGTGGGGTACTCTATAGTGAGTACAACCCAAACTAGGGTTTCCTATATGTATCCTACCTGCTGCTAGTGCAAACCCCTCTCTTTCCTGTTTCTCGTTTTGCCTAGCTTTCTCGACATGTTATCAGAGCAGGTCGAACCTCCTGGGTCGATCCTGTGGGTGGGCCCCACCCGATGCTTCCGCTGCTCTACTGCCTGTAGCGTGCCCCGGGCGCGCGCCGTTTTCTCACTGCCGTGCGCTCGGAGCGCGCAGCGTTTTTTCTTCCCGCCGTGCGCCCCGAGGCGCGCGGCGGTTTTCTGCCCCGTCGATCCGCGCGTCGCCTCCCGTCGCCCGTCGCAGCGCCCCCGGGGACCCGCGCGTCGCCCCCCGTCGCCCGTCGCGGCCCGCGCGACCTGCGCCAGGCCCGCGCGCGGCCCGTACAGCCCGCGCGCGGCCCGTACGGCCTGCGCCAGGCCCGCGCGCGGCCCGGGCAGCCCGCGCGCGGTTTGTCCGGCCTGCGCCAGGCCTGTGAGCGGCCCGTACCGTCTTCCCCTGTGCCGCACGCCGTCCCCCGAGTTTCTGACCGCGCCCCACCCCCGCTGCTGCCCGCGTTCCTGTGTTAGGGTTTGGGGGTGGAGAGTATGGGGGTGCCGTGTGTGTGAGCCGTCCCCTGCTCCTCCTCCTCCTCCGTCTCCCACTGCTGCAGCTGCCGCTGAAGGGGGCGGATGTGTTGGAGCCGTCGGAGTGGTACGAGGGGGGTGGCGTGTGAGCGGTGCTAGTGGTTCAGCAGGGAGTGTGTGACACGGGTGTGAGACAGCTGGGGGAAGTTGAATGGAAGCAGTCGTCTTGTCGTCCGCAGCGCCTGAAGTCCAGAGAGCCACGACCCCCTGTGGCCTGAGTAGTCCGGGGCTCTGCGCCCGGTAGCCACAGTGTGAGCACTCTTGGTAGTCCAGAGAGCCACGACCCCCTGTGGCCTGAGTAGTCCGGGGCTCTGCGCCCGGTAGCCACAGTGTGAGCACTCCTGGGAGCACAGCGAGCCAGCTGCGCCTGTCGCCGTGTAGTCCGGGTTTAGCCTGGTAGCGTCAGTGCTGCGCACTCCTGGTGCCCGTGTGTCTGCAGCTTCAACCGTCGCCTCCCATCTTCTCGCCCCCACAGTTTCTCCTCCTCCTCACTTGCCCTCTGTGATAGTCTCTAGCTTTGCTTATCATTGTGAACTATTGCTATGCCTGCTTGTTGTGCTGATTATACCCCACTTTGACTATGGGGGTGTGTCAGAATGTTATGTTTGTCTAGCCTGCAGTGGGGTACTCTATAGTGAGTACAACCCAAACTAGGGTTTCCTATATGTATCCTACCTGCTGCTAGTGCAAACCCCTCTCTTTCCTGTTTCTCGTTTTACCTAGCTTTCTCGACATGAATGGAAGCAGATGAGGAGGGCAAGGGGTTGGGAGATTGGACGGGGAGTGAGGCTGGTAACCAGCTTCTCTGCTGGTGAGGAGTGAAGGAACAAGTGAGATGGCAAGCAGGCAGCAACTGGTAAGCAGGAAGTGACGGAGATGGCAAGAGAGATGGCAACAGAGAAACTGAGATGACAATTGGATTGGCAACTGACATGGAAACTGAAATAGAAAGTAAGATAACAGTTGAATTGGCAACTGAGATGGCAAGTGATGCAACTCAAATTGTAAAATTGATGCCACCTGAAATGAAATAAAATGGCAGGTGCAGTTGAAATCGACATGGCAACTGAATTGGAAATTGGGATGATCACTGAGATTTCAACTGACATGGTAATTCCGAAAGATACTGAGGTGGTAACGTGAGGTGGCAACTGAGGTGGCAAGTAAGATTGCAAGTGAGAAGAAAACTGAAATGGCGACTAGCAAATGACGTAGCATCGAAGTGGCAACAGGAATGACAACTGAGAAGGCAACATAAAGTCAACTGAAATGACTACCGAGACAGCTCGACAAAGCATCTGAGATGTGAACTGAAAGGCAGCTGCTATCACATCTGGTTCGGTAATCAAATCAGCAATGGAGATGGAAACTGAGGTGGCAACTGAAATGCTGAGCAGATAGAAGCAGAAATAGCACCTGGAATGAAAACCAAAATCACAACTCTAAAATCGCAGCTGAGATGGCAAGTGACATAGCAAGCAAATTGTGTGAGGGAGAGAAAGGGACCCATGGGAATGATGTAAGCAGCTGAGGTGAGGAAACATATCTATTTATGTATATTGAGATCTCAGTTCAGAGTAGAGGGTTCTTTGAGATCATGAAGCTTGTGATAGGCCTTGTGAATGGAGCTGCTTCCAGCTGCTGTACTCAAGGTGATGACGCTAGCCTCCACCTGTGCCTGCATGGGAACGTGCGCACATGGATTTATAGGTGAAATGGAGAATGGATGATGGGTGCATAAGTGCATGGGTGCATGGGTGAATGAGTGCGTTCGCGCATGGGTGCATGGTTTCAGGGTCACTTTGCAAAAGCAAGGTGTTGTGTTGGGCGGATTGATGAAATTCAGAAGTTCATGGGTCCGTGGGTGCATCGGTGTATGGTGCATTTGTGTGTGGGTGCATGGGTGTGTGGGTGCATGGGTGTGTGGGTGCATGGGTGTGTGGGTGCATGGGTGTGTGGGTGCATGGGTGTGTGGGTGCATGGGTGTGCGGGTGCATGGGTGTGCGGGTGCATGGGTGTGCGGGTGCATGGGTGTGTGGGTGCATGGGTGTGTGGGTGCATGGGTGTGTGGGTGCATGGGTGTGCGGGTGCATGGGTGTGCGGGTGCATGGGTGTGCGGGTGCATGGGTGTGCGGGTGCATGGGTGTGCGGGTGCATGGGTGTGCGGGTGCATGGGTGTGCGGGTGCATGGGTGTGCGGGTGCATGGGTGTGTGGGTGCATGGGTGTGTGGGTGCATGGGTGTGTGGGTGCATGGGTGTGTGGGTGCATGGGTGTGTGGGTGCATGGGTGTGTGGGTGCATGGGTGTGTGGGTGCATGGGTGTGTGGGTGCATGGGTGTGTGGGTGCATGGGTGTGCGGGTGCATGGGTGTGCGGGTGCATGGGTGTGCGGGTGCATGGGTGTGCGGGTGCATGGGTGTGTGGGTGCATGGGTGTGTGGGTGCATGGGTGTGTGGGTGCATGGGTGTGTGGGTGCATGGGTGTGCGGGTGCATGGGTGTGCGGGTGCATGGGTGTGCGGGTGCATGGGTGTGCGGGTGCATGGGTGTGCGGGTGCATGGGTGTGCGGGTGCATGGGTGTGCGGGTGCATGGGTGTGTGGGTGCATGGGTGTGTGGGTGCATGGGTGTGTGGGTGCATGGGTGTGTGGGTGCATGGGTGTGTGGGTGCATGGGTGTGTGGGTGCATGGGTGTGTGGGTGCATGGGTGTGTGGGTGCATGGGTGTGTGGATGCATGGGTGTGTGGGTGCATGGGTGTGTGGGTGCATGGGTGTGTGGGTGCATGGGTGTGTGGGTGCATGGGTGTGTGGGTGCATGGGTGTGTGGGTGCATGGGTGTGTGGGTGCATGGGTGTGTGGGTGCATGGGTGTGTGGGTGCATGGGTGTGTGGGTGCATGGGTGTGTGGGTGCATGGGTGTGTGGGTGCATGGGTGTGTGGGTGCATGGGTGTGTGGGTGCATGGGTGCGTGGGTGCATGGGTGTGTGGGTGCATGGGTGTGCGGGTTTCTAGGTGCATGAAAGGATGGGTGCATGAGTGCACAAACGCAAGGGTGCATGGGTTTATGGGTGCATGGTGTCAGGGACACACAGCAGATGCAAGGCATGGGGTTGAGAGACGTGACTGAGAACCTCGGATGGCAAGAGAGTGCTGTTGGAGTAAGGAAAATCGTTTCCTAAATGAAGAGGTGAAGGAAACTAGAGAGGAGTGAGTATGGGGAGTGATAGTGGGAGGTGGGGAGAGAACGAAAGCAGAAGAGTCATGGGAGAGAACGCGAGGGGGTGTAGCAGAGGAAGAGGGCAGGGAGGGAGGGGGGGGTTGTTTGCTTGGAGAGGGCGAGAGCAATTCACATGACCGATTCCCATGGGCTGGTAACCAAGGTGCAAAGGAGTGAAGGAACAAGTGAGATGGCCAGCAAGCAGGCAGCAACTGGCAAGCAGAACGTAACAAGATGGCAAGACAGATGGCAACTGAAATGGCAAGTGATGCAACACAGATGCCAACTGAAAAGTGGACTGGAATGGCATCTGAAATTGAAACTGAATTTCAAACTGACATGGCTATTGCGAAGGCTACTGAGCTGTTAAGTGAGATTGCAAGATGGCAACTTAAAGTCAACTAAAATGGCTACCGAGACAGCAATTGATATGGCACCTGCAATGGCAAGTGAAATGGCAATTGACACGCCAATTAAGGTGTAAACAGAAGCGCCAACTGTTGGGTTTGGATTAGATTGGATGGGATGGGATGGGATGGGATGGGATGGGATGGGATGGGATGGGATGGGATGGGATGGGGGAGAATGGGTGGGGGATGGGGGAGAATGGGAGGGGATGGGGGAGAATGGGTGGGGGATGGGGGAGAATGGGAGGGGATGGGGGAGAATGGGAGGGGATGGGGGAGAATGGGAGGGGATGGGGGAGAATGGGAGGGGATGGGGAGATGATGACACGGAGAGGAGGGGCAGGGGAGAAGCGCACGAGGAGGGGAGGAGAGGGTAAGCGAGGGAGGTTGAGGTGGGTGAGGGAGGGTGCTGCGGGTGAAGGGCACGTGAGTGACGTGCACGTACCGCTTCATGTGATGCGATGTCGTGCATGTACATATGTGAACTGCATGTGTTTGGAGCATGTGAGCATGCAGGAGAGGACCCATGCGAGCATACATACCTCTTCATGCATGTCACATGGAGCAGATGAAGTTGGCATGATGTCTGCAGGTCTGAAGACCCACCCAAAAATAGCAATCAATGTCTCTCTCGCAACAAGAAGCTTCTTACTGCTCCACTCTCTGCCCCCCAACCTCCCCCTCCTTGCCCTTCCAAAACCGCCTCACTGTTCCACTTCACGCCCTTGAAAGAGTTCACACGTGGCGTCGGCTCTGCACCACTCGCTCCTACCACCGCCTTGCGCTGCCTGCCCGAATGGGGCGCCCCTCCTGCTGCCCATGATACCACTTGCCTCATCATACCATCATGCCACCATCATGCCTGCACTCCCCTCCATCAAGGCCTTACTTGCTCCTTCGTCTCCGCCCCTTCCGCCCCTTTTGCTCTCAAACCTTCTTCTCTATCTCGTCTTTTCCCTCTCATCCCCTCCGCGCTTTCCGCCGCATTCAAGGCCTTTTCTGCATCTTCCACTCCGCCTCCGCTCTCGCGACCTACGTTCACTACCTCACCTTTTCCCTCTTTCCGCCCTTTCCGCTCCTTCCGCTCCGTCCGCACGTCCTGATTCCTGCACTCCCGTCTTCGCTCGCTAACCTCGTCGCGCGCTCACCCTATTTTCGAGCTAGCGAGACAGTTGGGACGATCTGATTGGCCGAGGGTCACAGGTATCGGACACCATCACGCTGGACATGACGGCCACGTGCTGGTGGGAAGACGGCCACGTGCTGGTGGGAAGACGGCCACGTGCTGGTGGGAAGACGGCCACGTGCTGGTAGTTGTGTGGGAGTTCGCTTTCTCCCGCCAGCATGAAACGGCGAGAATGCAGCGTGAAAGTCGCATTTTGAAAGCGAAACCCTGGAACGGCTGCCTTGAGATCGCTTGTACGAGTAGTTCAATTCCTACTCGCAACCAAGGCTCGTAATCGCTTCTGGGCTCGTCGTAATCGCTTCTGCGCTCGTAGCCGCTTCTGTGCTCGTAATCACTTCTGCGCTCGTATTCACTTATGCGCTTGTAATCGCCTTCGCGCTCGTAATCGCCTTCGCGCTCATAATCGCCTGCGCGCTTGTTATCGGTTGTGCTCTCGCGAGTCGCGTCTGCTTGTGATTCGCCTGAAAATCATGGCTGGAAGCTGAGAGCTCCGCCAAATCCCGCTCGAGGAATGTCGGGATTGCCATTGCGACTCACTGCCGTCGAAACATACTGCACTGCGAACAATACTCTTGAGACCGCTTCGTACCGCCCAGACCTACATTTCCCAACAAGCACATTTTATTCCGAAATTCATGTATCCAACTGAGCAGAGAAACTCCACTGAATAGTGGATTTCCTAAAATGAACTTCTACCCAGACAAGAAGACAATTGCTTATAGAGGGGACAAGCTAGATTTGCTGACAGAGGGACTGCCACTTTCCCCCTCGATTCCCCGGAGCACACAGCAGGCAATCCCAATGCCTGCTGAATCTGATCCAAATTCATCTTCACTGAGCAAAGCACAGCCCGAACCGTTCTGGCTCACACACCATGCCTCCAGACCAAGCGTTTAGACCCGTCTCCGTTGCGTTGTGCGAAGTTTTCGAAAATCGTATCCATACGTTTGTTGTAACAAAGCGTCGTCGAAACGGCTAGGGAAGAAATAGATAACAAAAATAATGGCGGGAAACTGGTGAGGCGACTCGAGGAACTCAAGGGCCTGAAACCCACCGACACCGACAGAGTCTCCCCGAACCTCCCACTCCAGCTTATTATGCCTGACGCGACGCCATCGAGATCCCGAACCTGAACCCCAGCAAAATACGCCTTCAGATCCGTCCGCACACATTGCTGCTTCATCTCCCACCATTCGATTTCCGACACGTGGCATGCGTACGAGTAGACAGCAAGGCAGGCCGAGGCTGAAACTCCAAAGCTCAGGCAGACGAGGCATGTGGGGGTGGAGGCGAGGCTTTGAGCGGGCGAGGGCGGAGTGCAATAGAAATGGGATCCACGTGCTTCGAACTTATCACTCCCACTTCCTCTGCCGTTCTGTCGATCTGCAGTGAATAAGCTAGTCAGAAATCAGCCTCTGCTCAAGGATCACCTTCTGTTCAGCTATCCGCAGTCAATCAACATGGCCCCTCTCGTGGATATCTGCACTGTCAACTCTATTTCTCAAACTGAGAGCAATCCTACAACGCCTACCAGAGGCATTGGCAGGTTCGGAACCCCGCGAACCGTTTTCTCGCCTGTAAGATACTCTCCTGCCAAGCCTGCTGCTTGCAACTACGACGGTGAGACGTACTTCAGCAGCGTGCTTCTGAAGAGCGCAGGGCCGCTGCTGGAGAATCTGGCGAAGCACCTCCCTGACGGCCAGCACAAGCCCGTCGTGAAGGTGCAGGTTGTACCTGATGTGAAGCGGCCTGGAATCGGCCGCTTCGGAGGCAAGCCTGCTGCTGCCATGGTTGCACCTGTGGTTGTCCCTGCTGCTCCCTCACCATCTGATGCTGCTGCAGTCACACCGTCTGCTGTGGTTGCGCCTGTGGTGGTGCCTGAGGTAGCGCCTGTGGCTCCAGTGGCTTCAACCACACCACATGTGGCTGATGCGAGTGTGACCACAGAAGCAATATCCGAGGAGGCGAGTGCATGCGTTGCTGATCCGAGTGAGAAAGCGAGGTGGTCGAAGCTGCGTGACAAGGTTTGAGCAATGGATATTGCAATGAAACGTGCTGCTTACCTGAGGTGGGACAAGCGGAGCAAGGAGCCATCATGGGCCATGGAGATTGAAGCGGCCATTGAAGCCGCCCTGCGTCCCTGCTTCTTGCCCAAGCATCCTAATGCTATGGCGAATCTGACTCGCAAAACCGTGCCTCCTGCGTCTGCAGCAGCAGCGGCTGTAGCAGTGTCTGCAGCACCAGCTGCTCCCTCGCCCGCAGCTACAACAACAGTGAAATCACCTGCTGCGGCATCATCAGTGAGTGAGGCAGCAGCAGCAGCAACAGCACAAAAGCCAAAGCCTGCTGTTGCAGCAAGGTGCAAGGTGGGGGTTGAAAGCGCGAAGGGCAAGAATGGGTGCAACAGCAAGGTGGTGAGCATGGGTGTGAAGGGTGGTAAGGGCAACAACACGCATGCAGGCTCTGCCCCATGTGCAGCAGCAGCAGCAGTTGCGGGATCATGTGGTGGTGCATCATCAGTGAGAGCAGCTGGCAAGGCCAGCAGCAGGCAGGCGAGTGGGGTGAAGAGGAGAGAGGGGGGTGTGTGTGGGGAGGGAGCAGCAGGGAGGGCAGCAGGTGGAAGGCAGGGTGGTGTGAAGGCAGCAGGTGGCAGAGCAGTGGCAAGTGGCGTGTGTGGCAGGGAGGGGGTGAAGCAGCAGGCGGGGAGGAGAGAGGGTTTGGTGCATGAGAGGCAGCCAAGGCTAGGCTACAGCAGCAGCAGCAGCAGGGCGCACACAAGGAGCAGCTCCTGAAAGAGCCCTCAGTGCAATGCCTGCACTCGACTCGACTCCCAGCTGCTGTTGGGAGCATACATGGGTTACAACGGTGACACCAATGGAACAACTCCCATCTGCTGTTGGGAATACTATGATGACTTGTAGGCAGTAATGTGTGTCAGAATGTGATGGTTGTCTAGCCTGCAGTGGGGTACTCTATAGCGAGTACAGCCCTTCTAGGGTTTGCATATATGTATCCCTATGCTTGTTAGTCAAAACCCCTTCTTGCCTGTTTCTCGTTTTGGCCTAGCATTTTGACATGCTATCAGAGCGGGTCGACCCTCCTGGGTCGATCCTGTGGGTGGTCCCACCAGAAGCTTCCGCTGTTGTTTCCTGCTGTTTCCTGCCTGCCGCGCGCTCCGGGCGCGCAGCGAGGGCGCGCGGCGGTTTTTTGCCCCGTCACTCGGCGCGTCGCCCCCGGGAGGCGCTGCGACGGGCGACGGGGACCCGCGCGTCGCCCCCCGTCGCCCGTCGTGGCCTGCGCGCGGCCCGTACAGCCGGCGCGCGGCCCGTACGGGCTGCGCCAGGCCCGCGCGCGGCCCGTACGGGAAGCGCCAGGCCCGCGCGCGGCTCGGGCCGCCTGCGCGCGGTTCGGGCGGCTATGCCAGGCCCGTGGGCGGCCCGTTCCTCGCTGCCCCTGCCCTCCCCACTGTCCCCCGTGCTTCTACTGGCGCCCCACCCCTCCTACAGCCCGTTCTCCTGAATTAGGGTTTGGGGGTGAGGGGTATGGGGGTGAAGCCACTGAGTGCCGTTCCCCTCCTCCTCCTCCTCCTTCTCCGTCTCCCACTGCTGCAGCTGCCGCTGAGGGGGGTGGGTGTGTGGGAGCCGAGGGAGTGGCGCTAGGGGGTGTAGTGTGAGCGGTGCTAGGGGAACAGCAGGGGGTGTGTAAAAAGGGGGTGGGACAGCTGGGGGAAGTTGAGAGGAGGCCGTCGACTTGTCGTCCGCAGCGCCTGAAGTCCAGGGAGCCACGACCCCCTGTGGCCTGAGTAGTCCGGGGCTCTGCGCCCGGTAGCTACAGTGTGTGCACTCCTGGGAGCACAGCGAGCCAGCTGCGACCCCCTGTCGCCGTGTAGTCCGGGTTTAGCCTGGTAGCGTCAGTGCGGCGTACTCCTGCTGCCTGTGTGTCTGCAGCTTCAGCCGTCGCCTCTCATCTTCTTGCTCCCACAGTTTTCTCCTCCTCCTCACTTGCCCTCTGTGATAGCCTCTAGCTTTGCTTATAATTGTGAACTATTGCTCTGTCTGCTTGTTATGTTGATTGTACCCCACTTTGACTATGGGGGTGTGTCAGAATGTGATGGTTGTCTAGCCTGCAGTGGGGTACTCTATAGCGAGTACAGCCCTTCTAGGGTTTGCATATATGTATCCCTATGCTTGTTAGTCAAAACCCCTTCTTGCCTGTTTCTCGTTTTGGCCTAGCATTTTGACAATGTGTACACTGTATATAGTTAGGACATGTTGCTAGGGCAGAATCTTTAGTTGTAATCAATACTAAGTGTAATAAACAACTGCTTGCTTCACGTGGATGGAAGGGTGAATTCAAATGACTGCAAGAGGCAGGTCTTCGAGGACTAGCAGAATATCCTTTCCGTCTGCCGCTAGTTATTTACTGATGGCTTGTAGGGGCTGCCACTGGACTCAGTACCAATACTGAGCGAACACTATAACATGGAATAGCGAACTGAAATTTTGTTGGATACAGAACCAGTAATCACATCATTTCTCTTCAGCACACAAGGCTCCTCAGCTGGTGCAGCAAACAGAAGAGAGGGAAGCAGTGTAAAGTGGCAGTCAAAGAGAGCAGCACAGTACACTATAGCAGAAGAATCATGGATTTCCTGTTGCAGCAGCAGCTGCAGAAGCTCCAGCAAGAACATCAGGCTGTGAGCCTGCTAAGCCAAAGGGAGGGAATACCACATGGCTTGGCTTGGGACCGCTGGCTTTCATACCACATGGAACCTGCACCCCCATGGCTGCATCCCTGCACCCCCATGGCAGCATTGCAACATATGGGGTACTTGGGTTACATGAGCAGATCATGCCACATGGAGCCTCACCCGTGGCTGCATGAATGAATGCCTGCAGGGATGCATGGATAGATTGGAAGGATTGATGCGACTGGGAACCTCGGATGCAGGGAACTTCAAGTGTGGCAAAGAGGACCGGCAGCTATGTAGGCTGGGAGAGGACAGGTATCAAAGCAAAGAGAGGACGGGCATCAAAGCGAACTGGAAACTGAACTGGCAATTAAAAAGGCAACTGAGATGGAAACTGGCATGGCAACTGAAATGGCAACAGAAATGGCGGCTGAAATGGAATTTGAAATGGCAGATGAGCAACTGAAGTGGTTACATAAATGGCCACTGATTTGGCAATTAAAACGGCAGCTACATTGGTAACTAATTGAAAGGCAAGTGCGATGGCAAGCAGGCAAGTGCGATGGCAAGCAGGCAACGGCGCAGAGTAGTGCAAGCAGGAGAGAACAGGACCCTTGGGAATTGAGAAGTATTTTGAGCATTGGAATGGGAATTGGCCTTGTGCCAAGCTTAGAGGTTGAAACAGCCAGGGAGGCTGGGTTGATATGGTATGGTATGGGATGGGATGGGATGGGATGGGATGGGATGGGATGGGATGGGATGGGATGGGATGGGATGGGATGGGATGGGATGGGATGGGATGGGATGGGATGGGATGGGATTGAATAAGATAGCATCAGAGGTACAGAAATAGAGCAAAATATCAAAAGAACAGGAACAGAAAAAAACCACCCAGAGAATACCATACAACACCACCCACACAATGAATAACTAAAAAGTTGTGGTTCAGAGGACAGACTGAACGGGATTGAAAGCAGAAATGCTTGTTTTGGCACAAACAGCGATTCGGAATTCAAGCAGACTCGAATCGGTTCAATTCATGCCCGTGTCTGGAAATGGGCCAAGGAGGAAAGAGAAGTTTCCCGGGGACGTTCACAGGAGCACATGGCGACACCACAGCAATGTGAATGCCGCTGAATCTGCTCATGTGGCAGCTTGGCAATGGCCAGTGCCTGGTGAACGAGCAGCTGTGGTTGGGGGAAGAGGCTGATACCACGAGGGGGGTTTTCTGGTGAAAGGACGAGTGGGAATGGGATTGAGGGGAAGGATGGGGTGGAGCAGCAAAGGAGGAGGGGGAGCAAAAAGGGATGGGAGCAGTAAGGGATGAAAAAAGAAGAAGAAAAAACTGCTATTCATAGTGATTAATGAGGCTTAACCATGCTTTTGAGACTTGTCATTCTTTATGAGACGCTAGGAATCACTCAGATCAAGAACATTAAGCCGGTACGATATCCCAACTGTGTGTACGGTACTTAATAAAACATGACTGTTCTACACGTTATAGTGAGATGATTGATAGCGCGGTCACAAATCTCAACAGCGAATCTCATCAATAAGCAAAAAAAGTCATAACAACACTTCACCTAGAATGGCTTGTGTATTGACATGGCATGGTGTGTGTGATTGCATAACATGTCGTGTGTGATGGCATGGTATAGTGTGTGTGGTGTGATGGCATGGAATGGTGTGTGTGATGGCATGGGATGGTGTGTGTGATGGCATGACATGGCGTGTGACATGGCATGAAACAGTGGGTATGGGTCATATGATGATGTGCGGAGATCACTCGTGGCCTCCAGGCAAAGGTGGTACGGGCCATCAGCTCAAGGGGACAAACCATGTGAGCGGCATATCAACATGGCATGGCACATCAGCATAGCATGGCACATCAGAATATATACACAGCATGGCATATCACCATGGCATGACATGTCAGCATGGCATGGCATGTCAGCATATCAATAGAGCATGGCATATCAACACAGCACGGCATTCAGCATGGCATGGCACAGCAGCAGCAGAGCCGGCACATCACACGGGGAGGGGTGCAGAGGGCAGAGGGCGGGAGGGGAGTGGTGGGATAGCCCGTGGGGGCGAGGAAGGGGAGAATGGGAGGGGGAGGGGGAGAATGGGAGGGGAAGGGAGAAGGGGCGGGGATGGGGGAGATGATGCAACGGAGAGGAGGGGCAGGGTGAAATTCAAGGGAGAAGTGCCCAGGGAAGGGAAGGGGGGGTGAGTAGGGGGGTGGAGGTGGGTGAGGGAGGGTGCTGTGGGTGGATGGCATGTGAGTGACATGCATGTACTGCTTAAAGTGATGCCGTGTGCATGTAACATTCATGTATATTCGCGCATCGCATGCAGGAGCGTGTGAGCATGCAGGAGAGGACCTGAGATCATATCACGTTGATGTAAAATGGAGCAGATGATGTCGGCACTGCAAACGCCCTCCTATGCAAAGAGAACGCTCAGTGCAAAGAGAAACCCCTCCCCCCTTCCCCTTCAAAAACCGCCTCACACACTTCCAAAACCGCCTCACACACTTCCAAAACCGCCTCACACACTTCCAAAACCGCCTCACACACTTCCAAAACCGCCTCACCACTTCAAGCCCTCGAGAAGTTCCAAGAACCGCGTCAGCCGCCACGTCAGCATGAAAGCACGATAGGAAGAGAGGGTTGCTGGAACTGCAGCAACGGCCAATGTACAACTGCTGCCGTCTCTCCCTCCATCCCCTCCAAGGCATCCACCGCATCCAAGGCCTTTTGTAACAGTGCGGCGGCCGGGGCCTTTATTGCTCCTTCCGCTCCGCCCTTTTCTCCCCTTTTACGAACTTTGCTCCCTAATCTTCTTCTCTATCTCATCATTTCCCTCTTTCCGCCCTTTCCGCTCCCTCCGTTCCGTCCGCACGTCCTGTTTCCTGCACTCCCGTCTTCGCTCGCTCACCTCGTCGCGCGCCCACCCTATTTTCGAGCCTGCGAGTCGGTTAGGGCGATCTGATTGGGCGAGGGTCTCAGGCTCGGACACGACCACGGTGGACATGACGGCCACGTGCCGGTTGGGAGACGGCGAATGGTGAAGGCTGCTTGAGAGATCGCGTTGTCCCGTTAGCATGAAACGGTGGGACTGCAGCGTGAAAGTCGCATTTTGAAAGCGAAACCCGTACGGCTGTCTTGAGATCGCTTGTACGATAAGTTCAATTCGTACTCGTAACCAAGGCTCGTAATCGCTCCTGCGCTCGTTGACGCGTCTGCGCTCGTAACCGCTTCTGCGATCGTATTCACCTACGCGCTTGTACTCGCCTGCGCGCTTGTTATCGCTTGTGCTCTCACGAGTCGCGTCTGCTTGTGATTTGCCTGGAAATCGTGGCTTGCTCTCCAAACTACGCCAATTCACGCCTCAGGATCTCAGGATTGTGATGTGCCTCACTGCTGTCGCAAGACGCTGCACCGCGAACAATATTCTTCAGACCGTTTTGTACCGCACAAGCCTACCTTCCTCAACAAGCACATTTCAGATTCCAAGAATTGTTTATCCAGCCGAGCACAAAAATTCCGATTAATAATGCATTCTCTAAATGCTTTTCTACCAAACGAGAAGCCGATTGCTTATAGAGGGGACAACACAAGAATGGTTGACAGAGCGACTTTCACTTTTCCCCCTCAATTCTTCGCAGAACACAGCAGGCAATCCCAATGAGCTCAGTACAGCTGATGCTCACCCCATGCACGCGAATTTGCCTTGCGCCGGATGGATACGCTGCACCCGAGGTTGTTTCCCCAGCTTCATGCACCTACATTACAAGCGCGTCGCGTGGTTATCAACCAGTAGTAACGAACAGACCGACGTCAAACTAGGTACAGACCGAAGTCAAGCAGAGGAGACTGAAGTCAAACTAGGTTACAGATCTTGTTTATAAGCACATGCGAATCATTTTTAGCTAGCTGCGAATTGCCGAAACTTATGCGAAATGCTCGTGACAGCTTATACGCCCCCTTCGTAAGGCAACCGGGAGGGGCTCAAACAGGCATCAGGTGTACCACAGCACGGCCCAAACCCTTCTGCCTCACACACCATGCTTCGAGACGAAACCTATAGACCCGTCGCCATAGCGTAGTGCGAAGTTTTTTACCGAAAATCGTATCCATATGGTTTGTTGTAACAAACCTCGTAGGAACGGCTAGGGAAGAAATCGAGAACAAAAATGATGGCGGGAAACTGGTGAGGCGACTCGAGGGACTCGAGGACCTGAAACCCACCGACACAGACAGGCTCTCCCCGAACCTCCCACCCCCGCTTATTATGCCTGACGCGACGCCATCAAGTTCCCGAACCTGAACCCAGCAAAATACGCCTTGAGATCCGTCCGCACACCTTGCTGCTTCATCTCCCACCGTTCGATTTCGGACACGTGGCATGCGTACGAGTAGACAGCAAGGCAGGCCGAGGCTGGAACTCCGATGTTCAGGCAGACGAGGCATGTGGGGGTGGAGATGGGGGGGTTCGAGCAGGCGAGGCCGAAGTGCAGTAGAAATGGGGTCGTCAGGGTTGGAACTTTTCATTCCCAGTTCTTCTGCCGTTCTGTCGATCTGTGGTGAACAAACTACTCGAAAATCAGCCTTTGTCCAACGATCAGCTTCTGTTCAGCGATCTGCAGTCAAGTAACATGGCCTCTCTCGTCGATATTAACTCTGTTTCTCAAACCGCGAGCAATCCTGCAACGCCTACAAGAGGTATTGGCAGGTTCGGAACACCGCGAACCGTGTTCTCGCCTGTAAGATACTCTCCTGTCAAGCCTGCTGCTTGCAACGACGACGGTGAGACGTTCTGCAGCAGCGTGCTTCTGAAGAGCGTGAGGCCGCTGCTGGAGAAACTGGCCTCCCAAGGCGTCGCTGACGGGCAACACAAGCCCGCCAAGGTGCACGTTGTAGCTGACGCGCCTGATGTGAAGCGGCCTGGAATCGGCCGCTTCGGAGGCAAGCCTGCTGCTGCCGTGGTTGCACCTGTGGTTGTCCCTGCTGCTCCCTCACCATCTGCTGCTGCTGCTGCAGTCACACCGTCTGCTGTGGTTGCGCCTGTGGTGGTGCCTGAGGTAGCGCCTGTGGCTCCAGTGGCTTCAACCACACCACAGGTGCCTGCAGCGAGCGTGACCACAGAAACAATATCCGAGGAGGCGAGTGCACGTGCTGCTGACCCGAGTGAGAAAGCGAGGTGGGCGAAGCTGCGTGAGGAGGTTCAAGCTATGGGTTTTGCGCTGACACGTGCTGCTTACCTGAGGTGGGACAAGCGGAGCAAGGAGCCATCATGGGCCATTGAGATTGAGGCAGCCATTGAAGCGGCCCTGCGTCCCTGCTTCTTGCCCAAGCATCCTGATGATGTGGCGAATCTGAATCGCAAAACCGTGCCTCCTGCATCTGCAGCAACAGCGGCTATAGCAGTGTCCGCAGCACCAGCTGCTCCCTCGCCCGCAGCAGCAACAACAGTGAAATCACCTGCTGCGGCATCATCAGTGAGAGGAGCAGCAGCAGCAGCACAGAAGCCAAAGCCTGCTGTTGCAGCAAGGTGCAAGGAGCGGGTTGGAAGCGCAAAGGGCAAGAATGGGTGCAGCAGCAAGGTGGTGAGCATGGGTGTGAAGGGTGGTAAGGGCAACAACACGCATGCAAGCTCTGCGCCATGTGCAGCAGCAGCAGCGGTTGCGGGATCACATGGTGGTGCATCATCAGTGAGAGCAGCTGGCAAGGCCAGCAGCAGGCAGGCGAGTGGGGTGAAGAGGAGAGAGGGGGGTGGGTGCGGGGAGGGAGCAGCAGGGAGGGCAGCAGGTGGAAGGCAGGGTGGTGTGAAGGCAGCAGGTGGCAGAGCAGTGGCAAGTGGCGTGTGTGGCAGGGAGGGGGTGAAGCAGCAGGCGGGGAGGAGAGAGGGTTTGGTGCATGAGAGGCAGGCGAGGCCAGGCTGCAGCAGCAGCAGGGCGCACAGAAGGAGCTCCTGTTAGAGCCCTCACTGCAATGCTGCAATGCCTGCTCTCAATGCTGCTGCCAAGGACATCCTCACAGCACTCAAGGACACGTGCTGCTGAGAATATTCATGTGCAAGAACTGTACATAGACAGGTTACACTGCTGAGGTTACACCAATGGAACAGCTCCCAGCTGCTGTCGGGAATACATGATGACTTGTAGGCAGTGATGTGTACACTTTATAATATTAGCTTGTGATTACTGAATCAGTTTGCATTTGCACTGTACCGTAGAAGTACCGTACCACCAGTACTTAAATGTATCACTCACAACTGTCGAATGCAGTGGCAGATACCGTAGTCCCTCCCAACAAGCCATCAATGAAAACGGCTGACAAACCAGACATTCTGGAGTGACATCAACCTTCGGAGATCTGTATCATGCAGTCAGTTGAGTTCATTTGATGACCCTTCCATACATCCAGATGAACAAAATTGTGTGTGTACCGTAATACAGTTTAAACTAAGTACATTTCGACCTAGTGGAAACTGAAACAACATACTCTCATTTGCTTGCAAAGGCTGAGGAATCAGCAATCACACACGGTACCGCTATTTCTCTTCAGCACACGAGGTTCCTGAGCTGGTGCTGCAAGCATGCATTTGCTCTCGCTTGCAACTGCAGCAGCATCTCTAGCAGCCATGCCCCAGGGGACCACATACACTCAGCAAGAGCATCAGCCTGTAAAGCTGCTGAAGCAAGGTGGTTCATAATGCCTTTTACCAATATTGTATCTTGTGAATTTGCGCTTCACACCACATCCTACTGAGCTACGAATCTCCGGCCTGGTTTGCTACGGCCTCCATGAGCCGTCCTGACAGCCCCTTGCAGCCTTGGATCATTGTGTGCCCTCACCACACACCCACGCCTCTCAGCATCCACCAGCAACTGCTCCCATGTGCGGTTGCCCCGCCTCAGTGTGTCACCGTCACCCACCACCCACATGGCATGGCATGCACATGTCACCGCCACGTTCAGACTGGAAGAAGGGGAAATGGCAGAGGGAAGATGCATGGGACCAGTAAACAATAAAGTTCCGTTTCTCCGATCCAGAGCGTGAACTCTCAAGATGCATACTGGTATCAATTCTTGCTCTTGAACTCTGCAAACTCAATAAGCACATACATACCGTCGGGGGTCAGCAACGAATCCAATCGATCCAGCCGTGTTGCAGCGGACAGTACTAAGGATGATGACGTCACACTCCCTCCCTTGGAACCCGTCCACAGTACCCGCCTCCACCAGAAGCTGCCTCCACGCCCCCTCCCTCGCCTGCACCGCGCCCTGTAGTGCCTCCACCTGCCGCTTGTACTGCGATATCACCCCCACCTTGAGTCCCTTGAGGCCAGTGCCCCCCTGCGTGTCTGCGCCTGCTCCTCTGCATGCTGCAGGTTCAATGGCAGGAAGAGACGGTAGACGGAAACGAGGGAATGTGAGAATGGAGGCAGGAACCGGGGAGAGGGTAGCCCAGAGAGGGGGGGATTGTGACTTTTGAGTCGACTCAACGGTAGCCCTGAGAGGGGGGGATTGAAGGGTAGAAGTAGGATGAGGGGATACGTGCAAGCCATGCAAGGCCCACCGTGAGCGAGGCGATGCAGCAGGGTGAGAACAAGAGCAGCTTCCACAGAGTTGCCAATGCTGCGGCTGCCACCCTCCACCCCCCCGCCCTCGCGCTCCTCCCGGCCCTTCACGTGAAAGAACCTGTACGCGCCAAACAGCGGCTGCAGGTGGCTCGGACTGTGCTGCGGGCGGCACACGTTGGCGCCATTCTGGATGCGGCCGTTGTAGAAGCAGCGCGAGGGGAAGGCACTGATGGCAGGGTGCATGCGGTACTGCACGCTCAGCAGCTGGACCGCCCACCCGTTGCCTTGCAGCCGCTCGAACAGACTGCGGTTGTAGTGACCTGCTTCTGCCACCTGGGTATGAGGGCGGATAAAGAAAGGGAAACTGTTTTTGACGCACCTAAAAAAACGCACCCGTTGCCTTGCAGGCGCTCGAATAAACTGCGGTTGTAGTGACCTGCTTCTGCCACCTGCTCACGAGGGAGGGGGAAGAGGGGAACGACCAAGCTTGGACGATAACTGTGACATCAACAAACTGGGTGGTGCTAACGTGCCAAAACAGATATGCACCACTGCAGGTGATTCACCTCTGAAGAACACCTGCAGCACCAAGGCATGCCTTTACATCGCAGACCGAACCAAGGCATGCGGCTAATCACAAAACTAGAAAATCCCATCCTATTCTGACAACATCATAAAGATTTAGATGTTTTTACCGCCACATCCCACCCACCCACCTTGCTCATGACGGTGGCGGGAAGCTGCCGAGGGTCGCCGACCAGCACGGCGTGCTGCACGCCGTCCGCCTGCAGAGCCACGAGCGCCTCTGCCTCCACCAGCTGAGCGGCCTCGTCCAGCAGCAACAGAGGGAAGGCACCCGAGAGGCGGATGAGCGAGCGAGCAGACGATGACACGGTTGAGAGCACGAGGCGTGCGCCCTTCACACATGCCTCTGCTATGCAATCCCACGATGGGCTGCTGCTGCTGAGCCCAGGGATTTTGAAGGCGGGGCTGGCTGCATGGATTCCTTGCAGGTGGTGGCATATGGCATGGAAGAGCTCTGTGGCACGATCACGAGAAGCATCAGCACCAGTGGTGATGCTGCTGCTGCTGCTGCTGCTGACCGGTCTTGCTGCAGTGAAAGTTGTGTTCCTCCCATGCTTCTTTCCACTTGCATAGGCAGCATAGCTACCAGCCCCACCATTCTGATGGGATAGCCCCGCCAGCACTGCAGCCTCGCACTGCTCGCACCCCCTTGCTCTCCTGCCTCGCAGTCCTCCACGCCCCGCCATCCAGCCACTGCAGGACGTCAGCAGGCGCGAGCCCAGGCCACGCCAGGACGTGCAGCAGTGCGGGCAGGAGCTCAGCCGCCTGCAGAAGCATTGCGCGGTGGTGTGCCGGCAGGAGGGCGGACGGCAGGTCCTGGGCCAGAGTGGCAGCTGCATCCCTCGCTTGGTTCACCAGCTTCCCCACTCGCTCTCGGAAGAAGCTCAGCAGGTCAGCTTCAGGCCTCCTGCCACTGCTGCTCTCCGCCTTGCCGTCCCCGCCAACCTGCCCTCCACCACCCCCTCCAGCCTTCTCCTCCTTGGCTGTGAGCCGCCCCTCACGCTCCTTCCCGTGCTCATCACACTCCTCCTCCTGCTGCTCATGCTCCTTCTCCTGCCCCTCATACTCCAACCACAGCTGCTCGCCCGTCCACTGCAGCACGCCCATGAGAGCACTGAACGCGCCTCTCCACCCGGTGAGCCCACTCAGCGCCGCTTGCAGCCGCCACACCCGCCCCCTGCGTGACCCACCACCTCTGCCATCCTGGCGGCCCAGGAACAGCATGCAGAGCTCGCTGTCTACCTCCACCCTCTCCTCGTTTGCCACTAGCACCATGTCCCCCACCTGCACCCGCTCTCCATGTGCCCCTGCCGCTGCCGCTGCCGCTTCCCCTGCTGCTGCCCCTGCCGCTGCCGCTTCCCCTGCTGCTGCCCCTGCCGCTGCCGCTTCCCCTGCTGCTGCCCCTGCCCCTGCCGCTTCCCCTGCTGCTGCCCCTGCCCCTGCCGCTTCCCCTGCTGCTGCCCCTGCCCCTGCCGCTTCCCCTGCTGCTGCCCCTGCCCCTGCCCCTGCCCCTGCCCCTGCCCCTGCCCCTGCCCCTGCCCCTGCCTCACCACCCCCGCCCTGGGCGCGCTGTGGAAGGAGCACGGGTGGGACAGCGGCGAGAGCAAGGCGCAGCATGCGGCGGGCCACCTCGGCGGCTGCCACGTTGGTGGGCGCACACACGAGCGTGCGCACGCCCAGAGACAGCACGGCCCACAGCAGCACCGCCAGCATGTGCGTCTTGCCCGTGCCAGGCGGCCCTTGCACCAGCTGCAGGGGCTGCGGGGGGAAGGAGGAGGAGGATGAGGAGGGGAGCGCAGCAGTGGAGGAGGAGGGCAGGAAGCGGACGGTAGTGGGGTTGGCGAGGGGTGGGGAGAGGAGGGCGGAAGCAGGCGGAGGGGCAGGGGTGGGCAGGAGGGCGGAGAGGCAGGGGAGAGAGAACGGGTGCGTGGTGGGAGTGGTTGAGGTGGTGGGCAGTGCAGAGGTGGTGGGCAGTGCAGAGGTGGTGGGCAGTGCAGAGGTGGTGGGCAGTGCAGAGGTCCGACACAGCTTGCAGCACAGCTGCTGCCTCATGAGGCGCCACTGCAATGGCAGGGGCCACTGCCGAGCTTCGCTGCAGAGGGAGAAAGAGAAGGTGAGCAGTGGAGGAGGTAATCGGTCGAATGCAACTTTTGAGACGTCTCAAAAGCTGCTGCCCCGTGAGGCGCCACTGCAATGGCTGGAGGCACTGCCGAGCTTCACTGCAGGTCTCAAAACACGCTGCAGAGGAACAAAGAGAACGTGACGTAAGCAGTGGAGGAGGTAATCAGTCGAATGCAACACCGAACCTTCCCTCTTCTCCCCGTCCCTCCAAACTGCCTTGGCGCCTTACCTCTCTCCACTCCGATCCTGGTCTCCTCGCTCCAGCTTTGAGCCTCCCCTGCTGCTTCTCCTTGGAGCACAGCAGCGCCCTCAGCACCCTCCTCCGCCTCGCCCCCTCCTCGCCCGGCTCCTCCCCCCCCTGCAGCGCTGCCCACACGCGCAGAGGCGTGGCCAGACAGCCCAGTGGGGTGGCATACCACCGCACTGCACTCGCCTGCTCGCTACCCTCCGCCTCCACTTCCACTGCCGCCCTGAGCGCGCTGTACTCACGCGAGCCCTCACGGGCCACCATCTTGGCACGTAGCCCCCCCCCTCGTGGCTTCACGAGCAGCGCCAGGCAGTGCAGCACTCCCGGGGAGAGCAGCGCGGGTGGGCGAGAGGGGGGCGCAGAGGACAGCAGCACCACGTCTGTGGGTTTCAGCTCCGCCCCTGCTGCACCCGCCTTCCCCGCCTCACCGGTCCCAACCGCGCGGCACACCTCCAAGTCCACGTAGCAGAAGCCAGCAGTGGTGTCCCACCCCCACTGGAGGCACCCACTGGGCCCCCCTCCACAGGCGTGAGAGCGCGCACGGTGACAGGGAGGGAGCAGGCGGGAGGGAGGTCGAGCAGGGCGCGCTTGAGGGAGGCACGGCACTCGTCGACGAGCGGCCAGCGGAAAGCAGCGAGGTAGGTGGGTATGTTGGTGAAGGTGGTGGGGATGGGCCGCACCTGACAGGGGGGGGCACGGGCAGTGCAGGGGGGTTGGGGGCAAGGGGTGAGGGAGACGAGGGCAATGGCTGCTTCAAGTGCCGGGTGCTTTCGCAGAGGTTAATAAGACTCAATGCGCAGACATTGCAAGGGCGGGAGAGTGCAAGCAGCATCTTACAAGGGTGGAGAGGAGCTGGTCGTTGCAGATGTCGGCCACACGCCATGGCAGCACGTGCTGCTCCAACTCGCACAGCGTTCCTCCAACTCTCAAAAGTTCCTCCAACTGATCTTACGAGGTTAGTGATAAGTCGGTCTTTGTAGATGTCGTCCACACGCCATGGCAGCACGTGCTGCTCCAACTCGCACAGCGTCCCTCCCCCCTCTCCCTCCCCTGCCTCCCTTGCTTCCGCTGCTGCCACTCCTGGGCACTTGGGAGCACGCCCCGCCCTGCCCCGGCACGTGCTGGGCGCAGGCGAGGATGAGGCGCCAGGCGGCTTGGACGCCTTTTGAGGCGCGTCTGAAGCCGACTTGGCACGGCGCATGGTGGGCGCAGGCGAGGAGGAGGCGCCAGGCGGCTTGGATGCCTTTTGAGGCGCGTCTGAAGCCCCCTTGCCATGGCGCGTGCTGGGCACAGGCGTGGAGGCGGCAGGCGGCTTAGAAGCCCTGCTGGCCGCCATTTGTGGCGCTGCCTGCTGTGCTACGCGCGGCTGGTCGTCGCTGCAGGCGTGACAGGAGGTACAGTGAGGGAGAAACAAGCACAGAAAACATGTCTCACTAATTAGCCCATGTGCTCGTTAATCGCCTGCCAAAAAAAAAAAAGAAGAAAATATAACATAAGAAAACCGAACGAAACAAACCCCGACAAGAATTGGGCAAAAAAGGACAAACCACGACAAGAACAAGGGCAAAAATCGAAACGAGCAAAATTGGGTAGGTGCAAGTCGACCTTGCACGAATAGATTTGCGCCGTGCACCTCGCAGTTTGTGACCTCCCTCCGGTGTGCGATCCATGGCGCGTGTGAGCAGGCAGCGGGCCGTGGGCCGATAAGGAGGGTGGCTACTAGTGAAGGCCTTTTGTGACCTTCCCCCTCACAAACGGCTAAGGAGGGACGTGCAGCTAGTGGTGAGGGCGATGAGGCCAAGAGGGAGGGCGTTTATAACACCTCGCTACCCATTGGGTCAACACGAGGGTGTTATTTTGGAGCAGCGGAAGGCGTTACAGCAATTGAGTAATGACAATTGCGGGATGAGGCGGGAGTTAGTGGCGATGCCCGGACAGCCAGTCCAGATCGCAGAGAGAAGCACATGCGCACGACGGGGAGAGGTGCACGGAGATGGGAGAGGTGGTCGGAGGCTGGGCTAGCTAGCCCCACGATGTGCCTGCCAATCGAGCGTCCCTCGTTTTGGAGATCTGCGCGGCAGCCCTCGTCCCTCTGTGAGATCGTCGCACGTAGACTAAGGACGACGTGGCGAAGCGCACAACAGGGAGGGCTGTGACTGGGGGACGAAGACAACGTGGATGGCGATGACAGGGCGAAATTCGGATGGCTCGGCAAGCCCGCATGGAAGGGCACAGAACAGATCGAGAACAGTGAGAGAACGAGGGCCCACACGGAAGGGCCCTCTCTCGGGAGGGCAGATGCGGCAGCGACGGAAGGGCACGGCGCATGCCTGAATTTCCGCGACGCAAGGCGTGACTGCGTGCTGCCGCAGCTGGCCATGCACGCGAGGCACATAGGGCCTCGAGTCGACGGGCGTGGGCAGACATGGTGGGGGGCAAAACGATGGTCACGAGGACGAGGGTGTGTTGATGGGGCTAGCGAGCGCGCGATCTACGGGCAACCATTCCGACCAGGTGCGTCAACTATGTCAAACCGTGAGTGACAAGACTGTTCGGCTTCACGAATCGGGACGGATACGGAAACGTTATAAACTGACTCCACTTTTCCCAATAATCAAGTCCACTGAACATCTACACCAGTCCTACCAATATTCTCAAGAGAATCAGCTCTCGTTTCTTCAGATTTACATACATACATCAAGGGCCTGGCTTCGGGTGGTCGAAAGAACTGGAGGAGCACATAGTACTATAATGGTGGAACATCTTAGCAAAAGCTTAGAACCATGAGCATTGCCCAGCAGCACTGCCGTTTCATTTTATACACCGCCAGAATCCTATTTTGTAGCAAGCTTCGCTAAAACGGGAAACTAACGTGCCATCTGTGAAGCCGGATTCGCAGTGCTTATTGGTTGTTGCTTTTGTGTCATTCTGTAATATTACTGGCCCTCTGTTCTGATTGGTTGTACATCTGCTTTGCCATTGTTCAGCTGACAAGCCACTCACCAGATGTCTCCTCAGCTAAAGCCCTGCGTAGGTGGAAAACCAAGATGCCAGCGTGGCTTCAACAGGCAATACATCTCCACTGCCACAATGGAGTTGCTTGGGGCTTGCGGGTTCCAGGAAGTGTTCAGTAACGATGTCAGCCGTTTTTGCCTCTTATTTCGGTTTGTTTTCTCCAAGTTTCATGAGTAAACGTGTCTCTGGCAATTTGATTCGCCTCAAACTGCGAAAGAAGTGGCATAACATTTCAGGACTTTATGACACAGTCAGGATTAGGCCTTTCTGAGAATGCGATCTTATATCCGAGGTGCCCCGCCAAGGTCAACCCGCCGCCCACCTCCAGTCGTCCCAATTTCAGATTTCTTGCTTGCAACACCATTCCATTTTCAAGCATTCCTTGGTCCGTCGATTCCTGTTTGTGACATCGCACTTGCTCTTCTTGCTCCAGTCACACTTGAGTAGTGTGTTGATTTCAGGCCCAATTGCCGCTGAAAGTCTCAGCTTAGCTTGCTTCAACTTCTCATAAAATGGCGACAGCAATGGCGAAGTCAATTCCCACCTGGAGTCCCCTCACCAGCGCGAAACCAGCCAACACACTCAGCTCCGCTCACAGCCTCTCCCCACCCTTGAAAATCAGAACCGCTCTTCTCTCCCTCTCCCGCTCTCGTGGGCGAGTCAACCCCACCGTCGCGTCGGCGACGGGTAACGGCGCGCCAGCGTCGCGCGCGGCGAAGCTGGTGGACGGGAAGGTGCAGGAGGGGCCAGACCTGAGCGTGGAGGTGAACGGACTGCGCCTGCCCAACCCCTTCGTCATCGCGTCGGGGCCGCCCGGCACCAACTACGTCGTCATGAAAAAAGCCTTCGACGAGGGGTGGGGCGGCGTCATCTGCAAGACGGTGAGTTTTGTGTCGGCTTACAAGTTAGCGTCGCTCGCGGCGAAGCTGGTGAACGGGCTGCGGCTGCCTATTTTTGAGGCGCCTAGAAAAAAGGTGGATGGGAAGGTGCAGGAGGGGCCGGACCTGAGCGTGGAGGTGAACGGGCTGCGGCTACCCAACCCGTTCGTCATCGCGTCGGGGCCGCCCGGCACAAACTACGTCGCCATGAAGAAGGCGTTTGATGAGGGGTGGGGCGGAGTCATTTGCAAGACGGTGAGCTCTGCGCGGTCGCCTTTGTTTCTGCTGGGAGAGAAAGAAGGAAGGCCTCACTCAAACCTCATCTGCCTGCCTAACCCGTTGGTCATCGCGTCGGGCCGCCCGGCACCAACTACGTGGTCATGAAGAAGGCCTTCGACGAGGGCTGGGGCGGAGTCATTTGCAAGACGGTGAGCTCTGCGCGGTCGACTTTGTTTCTGCAGGGAGGGAAAGATGGAAGGCTTCACTCAAACCTCATCTGCCTGCCCAACCCGTTCGTCATCGCGTCGGGGCCGCCCGGGACCAACTACGTGGTTTAAAAGAAGGCCTTCGACGAGGGCTGGGGTGCTGTCATCTGCAAGACGGTGAGTCGCGATGACCTTGTTACCGGAGAGAGAGGACAAAGAAAGAAATGGAAAATAAATTGACGAGAGAGAAGATATCGTGACGATGGTTTTTTTCGGAATTTGTCCATTCGAGTCCAGTATGCTGCTCGTCAAATCTTTTTGTTTTCCTTTCCGGCTCTAAATTTCACCTTTGATTCATATTCAGCTCGTTAGTACTTATTATCTCTTGACACCGCGGACTTTCAGTCGCGATATGCTATTAACCCCCGTTCCTCACGCTTTTTGAGTTGACCCCCCGCGGACTTAAAACTCACTCATCCGCCACCCCGCGTCGGTCCTAAACGCCGCCAGACGTCACGTCAAGCTGGGAACCGTCCGTTTCCGTTCTCTCTCTGCCCTTTCCCATCGCCTCTCCGTCCTTTCCCCGTTTCCCACGGTTCCCCGCCCCCGGCAGCTCTCCCTCGACTCGTTCAAGGTGGTCAACGTGACTCCGCGCTACGCCAACCTGCGCGCTTTCCTCACCCGTTTTCCTTTCCCCTCTCCTGCCGTTCCCTGTATCCCCATATCCCCGTGTTCCCATTTTCCCCCACCCGCCCCTCCTTCCCAGCAGCTCTCCCTCGACTCCTCCAAGGTCGTGAACGCGACACCGCGCTACGCGAAGCTGCGCGCTTCCCACACCCGCTGCAATTCCCTATATTCCCCACGTCCCCGTTTCCCCGTTTTCCCGCCTTCCCCCGTTTCCCCGCCTTCCCCTGTTTCCCCGCCTTCCCCCGTTTCCCCCACTCTTTCGCATCTGCGCAGCTCTCCCTGGACTCCTCCAAGGTGGTCAACGTCACTCCGCGCTACGCGAAGCTGCGCGCGCCGCACTCGCGCGACGTGATAGGGTGGCAGAACATCGAGCTGATCAGCGACCGGCCGTTCCACGTCATGCTGGCGGAGCTGAAGCAGCTCAAGGCGGAGTACCCCGAGCGCGTTCTGATTGCGTCGATCATGGAGGAGTTCAACAGGGACGCGTGGGAGGAGATCATTGGGCGCTGCGAGGAGGTCGGCGTGGTGAGTGTGCACCTCTGGTGAGGTAGATTGGAGTGTGTGTGCCGATTTCTCCAAGAGATTTCAAATTGGCTCCCTTGTCTGTCCCTGAAGTGGGACTTCGATTTGGGGTGAGTGATGCTGGCGGAGCTGAAGCAGCTCAAGGCGGAGTACCCGCACCGCGTTCTGATTGCGTCCATCATGGAGGAGTTCAGTAAGGACGCGTGGGAGGAGATTATTGGCCACTGCGAGGAGGTTGGAGTGGTGAGTGCGTGAAGTGGACAGAAGGGTTTGAACTGAATTGCACTGAACCTGACTCAACTGAATTGTTGGAATGAACCAATCTGGACCGGACTGGACTAGACTGAACTTGACTGAAGTGGAGCTAACCGGACTGAACTGGTCTAAACTCGTGTTGGAGGAGTTAGATCACAACAGGCATTGGGTGATGGACCATAAATGAATGATTTTGTTGTTGCATGCTTAAGCTGGTGCAGTGGGGCAATATTATTGAAGGCAGGAGCTGAACAAACCGAGGTCAAAGAGTAATTACTGCTGTGCAATTTCCGAGGACCACTGCCTTATCCGTCGTGCGGGACGCGTTTGAGATCAACTTCTCGTGCTTTTTGTAGGGTGTGAAGAGCCATATGTATCCGAATTCCCCGTACCCTCCCTCTCAGGACGCGTTTGAGATCAACTTCTCGTGCTTTTTGTAGGGTGTGAAGAGCCATATGTATCCGAATTCCCCGTACCCTCCCTCTCAGGACACGTTTGAGATCAACTTCTCGTGCTTTTTGTAGGGTGTGAAGAGCCATATGTATCCGAATTCCCCGTACCCTCCCTCTCAGGACGCGTTTGAGATCAACTTCTCGTGCTTTTTGTAGGGTGTGAAGAGCCATATGTATCCGAATTCCCCGTACCCTCCCTCTCAGGACGCGTTTGAGATCAACTTCTCGTGCTTTTTGTAGGGTGTGAAGAGCCATATGTATCCGAATTCCCCGTACCCTCCCTCTCAGGACGCGTTTGAGATCAACTTCTCGTGCTTTTTGTAGGGTGTGAAGAGCCATATGTATCCGAATTCCCCGTACCCTCCCTCTCAGGACGCGTTTGAGATCAACTTCTCGTGCTTTTTGTAGGGTGTGAAGAGCCATATGTATCCGAATTCCCCGTACCCTCCCTCTCAGGACGCGTTTGAGATCAACTTCTCGTGCCCGCACGGCATGCCGGAGCGGCGCATGGGCATGGCGATGGGGCAGGACTGCGAGTTGCTGCACGAGATGTGCGGGTGGATCAACGCCGCTGCTCACATCCCCGTGTGGGCCAAGATGACCCCCAACATCACTGATATCACCCAGGTACGAGGATGAGTTGGGATTGCGGAGGATGAGGAGAGGGACGGGGGAATAGCAAGGGCGGAGTGAGAGGCGTGCAGTGAGAGCATGAGAGCCATCACCCTCTTTGCACCTCAATTCACTCGTGGCCTGGCCGTTTGTCTGCCTCTCATCGCTCTCATCTCTCTCCCTCTCCCTTCTCAACGTGCAGCCAGCGCGAGTGGCACTGGAGGCGGGGTGTGAGGGAGTGAGCGCCATCAACACCATCACGAGCGTGATGGAGGTCAACCTCAAGACGCTGCGACCAGAACCATGCGTTGAGGGGTGAGCGGTTGGTGTTGAGGGGTGCAAGTTCATGGGTACAGATGAGCGTTTTAAAGCACTCTGCAAGAACAGTTCCTTGTCACGAGCGTCATGGAGGTCAACCTCAAGTCAAGGCACTCAGGCCCGAGCCATGCGTTGAGGGGTGAGTGGTTCGAAAGTGTTCAGACGTGTGTGGGTGGCGGTGAGGGTTGAGTGAGTAGGTGCCACTGAGTGAGTGAGAGCGTGAGCGCCATCAACACCATCACGAGCGTCATGGAAGTCAACTTTCAGACCCTCAGGCCGGAGCCATGCGTTGAAGGGTGAGTGGATAAGTGGTGTTGCCTCTCCCATCGCATGCCTCTCCCATCGCATGCCTCTCCCATCGCATGCCTCTCCCATCGCATGCCTCTCCCATCGCATGCCTCTCCCATCGCATGCCTCTCCCATCGCATGCCTCTCCCATCGCATGCCTCTCCCATCGCATGCCTCTCCCATCGCATGCCTCTCCCGTCGCATGCCTCTCCCGTCGCATGCCTCTCCCATCGCATGCCTCTCCCGTCGCATGCCTCTCCCATCGCATGCCTCTCCCGTCGCATGCCTCTCCCATTGCATGCCTCTCCTCCCATCTCGATTCTGTGCTTCGGGCTGGAGAGCAGCAGCAGCAGCAGCAGCAGCAGCAGCAGCAGCAGCAGCAGCAGCAGCAGCAGCAGCAGCAGCAGCAGCAGCAGCAGCAGCAGCAGCAGCAGCAGCAGCAGCAGCAGCAGCAGCAGCAGCAGCAGCAGCAGCAGCAGCAGCAGCAGCAGCAGCAGCAGCAGCAGCAGCAGCAGCAGCAGCAGCAGCAGCAGCAGCAGCAGCAGCAGCAGCAGCAGCAGCAGCAGCAGCAGCAGCAGCAGCAGCAGCAGCAGCAGCAGCAGCAGCAGCAGCAGCAGCAGCAGCAGCAGCAGCAGCAGCAGCAGCAGCAGCAGCAGCAGCAGCAGCAGCAGCAGCAGCAGCAGCAGCAGCAGCAGCAGCAGCAGCAGCAGCAGCAGCAGCAGCAGCAGCAGCAGCAGCAGCAGCAGCAGCAGCAGCAGCAGCAGCAGCAGCAGCAGCAGCAGCAGCAGCAGCAGCAGCAGCAGCAGCAGCAGCAGCAGCAGCAGCAGCAGCAGCAGCAGCAGCAGCAGCAGCAGCAGCAGCAGCAGCAGCAGCAGCAGCAGCAGCAGCAGCAGCAGCAGCAGCAGCAGCAGCAGCAGCAGCAGCAGCAGCAGCAGCAGCAGCAGCAGCAGCAGCAGCAGCAGCAGCAGCAGCAGCAGCAGCAGCAGCAGCAGCAGCAGCAGCAGCAGCAGCAGCAGCAGCAGCAGCAGCAGCAGCAGCAGCAGCAGCAGCAGCAGCAGCAGCAGCAGCAGCAGCAGCAGCAGCAGCAGCAGCAGCAGCAGCAGCAGCAGCAGCAGCAGCAGCAGCAGCAGCAGCAGCAGCAGCAGCAGCAGCAGCAGCAGCAGCAGCAGCAGCAGCAGCAGCAGCAGCAGCAGCAGCAGCAGCAGCAGCAGCAGCAGCAGCAGCAGCAGCAGCAGCAGCAGCAGCAGCAGCAGCAGCAGCAGCAGCAGCAGCAGCAGCAGCAGCAGCAGCAGCAGCAGCAGCAGCAGCAGCAGCAGCAGCAGCAGCAGCAGCAGCAGCAGCAGCAGCAGCAGCAGCAGCAGCAGCAGCAGCAGCAGCAGCAGCAGCAGCAGCAGCAGCAGCAGCAGCAGCAGCAGCAGCAGCAGCAGCAGCAGCAGCAGCAGCAGCAGCAGCAGCAGCAGCAGCAGCAGCAGCAGCAGCAGCAGCAGCAGCAGCAGCAGCAGCAGCAGCAGCAGCAGCAGCAGCAGCAGCAGCAGCAGCAGCAGCAGCAGCAGCAGCAGCAGCAGCAGCAGCAGCAGCAGCAGCAGCAGCAGCAGCAGCAGCAGCAGCAGCAGCAGCAGCAGCAGCACAGCAGCAGCAGCAGCAGCAGCAGCAGCAGCAGCAGCAGCAGCAGCAGCAGCAGCAGCAGCAGCAGCAGCAGCAGCAGCAGCAGCAGCAGCAGCAGCAGCAGCAGCAGCAGCAGCAGCAGCAGCAGCAGCAGCAGCAGCAGCAGCAGCAGCAGCAGCAGCAGCAGCAGCAGCAGCAGCAGCAGCAGCAGCAGCAGCAGCAGCAGCAGCAGCAGCAGCAGCAGCAGCAGCAGCAGCAGCAGCAGCAGCAGCAGCAGCAGCAGCAGCAGCAGCAGCAGCAGCAGCAGCAGCAGCAGCAGCAGCAGCAGCAGCAGCAGCAGCAGCAGCAGCAGCAGCAGCAGCAGCAGCAGCAGCAGCAGCAGCAGCAGCAGCAGCAGCAGCAGCAGCAGCAGCAGCAGCAGCAGCAGCAGCAGCAGCAGCAGCAGCAGCAGCAGCAGCAGCAGCAGCAGCAGCAGCAGCAGCAGCAGCAGCAGCAGCAGCAGCAGCAGCAGCAGCAGCAGCAGCAGCAGCAGCAGCAGCAGCAGCAGCAGCAGCAGCAGCAGCAGCAGCAGCAGCAGCAGCAGCAGCAGCAGCAGCAGCAGCAGCAGCAGCAGCAGCAGCAGCAGCAGCAGCAGCAGCAGCAGCAGCAGCAGCAGCAGCAGCAGCAGCAGCAGCAGCAGCAGCAGCAGCAGCAGCAGCAGCAGCAGCAGCAGCAGCAGCAGCAGCAGCAGCAGCAGCAGCAGCAGCAGCAGCAGCAGCAGCAGCAGCAGCAGCAGCAGCAGCAGCAGCAGCAGCAGCAGCAGCAGCAGCAGCAGCAGCAGCAGCAGCAGCAGCAGCAGCAGCAGCAGCAGCAGCAGCAGCAGCAGCAGCAGCAGCAGCAGCAGCAGCAGCAGCAGCAGCAGCAGCAGCAGCAGCAGCAGCAGCAGCAGCAGCAGCAGCAGCAGCAGCAGCAGCAGCAGCAGCAGCAGCAGCAGCAGCAGCAGCAGCAGCAGCAGCAGCAGCAGCAGCAGCAGCAGCAGCAGCAGCAGCAGCAGCAGCAGCAGCACAGCAGCAGCAGCAGCAGCAGCAGCACAGCAGCAGCAGCAGCAGCAGCAGCAGCAGCAGCAGCAGCAGCAGCAGCACAGCAGCAGCAGCAGCAGCAGCAGCAGCAGCAGCAGCAGCAGCAGCAGCAGCAGCAGCAGCAGCAGCAGCAGCAGCAGCAGCAGCAGCAGCAGCAGCAGCAGCAGCAGCAGCAGCAGCAGCAGCAGCAGCAGCAGCAGCAGCAGCAGCAGCAGCAGCAGCAGCAGCAGCAGCAGCACAGCAGCAGCAGCAGCAGCAGCAGCAGCAGCAGCAGCAGCAGCAGCAGCAGCAGCAGCAGCAGCAGCAGCAGCAGCAGCAGCAGCAGCAGCAGCAGCAGCAGCAGCAGCAGCACAGCAGCAGCGCAGCAGCAGCAGCAGCAGCAGCAGCAGCAGCAGCAGCAGCAGCAGCAGCAGCAGCAGCAGCAGCAGCAGCAGCAGCAGCAGCAGCACAGCAGCAGCAGCAGCAGCAGCAGCAGCAGCAGCAGCAGCAGCAGCAGCAGCAGCAGCAGCAGCAGCAGCAGCAGCAGCAGCAGCAGCAGCAGCAGCAGCAGCAGCAGCAGCAGCAGCAGCAGCAGCAGCAGCAGCAGCAGCAGCAGCAGCAGCAGCAGCAGCAGCAGCAGCAGCAGCAGCAGCAGCAGCAGCAGCAGCAGCAGCAGCAGCAGCAGCAGCAGCAGCAGCAGCAGCAGCAGCAGCAGCAGCAGCAGCAGCAGCAGCAGCAGCAGCACAGCAGCAGCAGCAGCAGCAGCAGCAGCAGCAGCAGCAGCAGCAGCAGCAGCAGCAGCAGCAGCAGCAGCAGCAGCAGCAGCAGCAGCAGCAGCAGCAGCAGCAGCAGCAGCAGCAGCAGCAGCAGCAGCAGCAGCAGCAGCAGCAGCAGCAGCAGCAGCAGCAGCACAGCAGCAGCAAGCAGCAGCAGCAGCAGCAGCAGCAGCAGCAGCAGCAGCAGCAGCAGCAGCAGCAGCAGCAGCAGCAGCAGCAGCAGCAGCAGCAGCAGCAGCAGCAGCAGCAGCAGCAGCAGCAGCAGCAGCAGCAGCAGCAGCAGCAGCAGCAGCAGCAGCAGCAGCAGCAGCAGCAGCAGCAGCAGCAGCAGCAGCAGCAGCAGCAGCAGCAGCAGCAGCAGCAGCAGCAGCAGCAGCAGCAGCAGCAGCAGCAGCAGCAGCAGCAGCAGCAGCAGCAGCAGCAGCAGCAGCAGCAGCAGCAGCAGCAGCAGCAGCAGCAGCAGCAGCAGCAGCAGCAGCAGCAGCAGCAGCAGCAGCAGCAGCAGCAGCAGCAGCAGCAGCAGCAGCAGCAGCAGCAGCAGCAGCAGCAGCAGCAGCAGCAGCAGCAGCAGCAGCAGCAGCAGCAGCAGCAGCAGCAGCAGCAGCAGCAGCAGCAGCAGCAGCAGCAGCAGCAGCAGCAGCAGCAGCAGCAGCAGCAGCAGCAGCAGCAGCAGCAGCAGCAGCAGCAGCAGCAGCAGCAGCAGCAGCAGCAGCAGCAGCAGCAGCAGCAGCAGCAGCAGCAGCAGCAGCAGCAGCAGCAGCAGCAGCAGCAGCAGCAGCAGCAGCAGCAGCAGCAGCAGCAGCAGCAGCAGCAAGCAGCAGCAGCAGCAGCAGCAGCAGCAGCAGCAGCAGCAGCAGCAGCAGCAGCAGCAGCAGCAGCAGCAGCAGCAGCAGCAGCAGCAGCAGCAGCAGCAGCAGCAGCAGCAGCAGCAGCAGCAGCAGCAGCAGCAGCAGCAGCAGCAGCAGCACAGCAGCAGCAGCAGCAGCAGCAGCAGCAGCAGCAGCAGCAGCAGCAGCAGCAGCAGCAGCAGCAGCAGCAGCAGCAGCAGCAGCAGCAGCAGCAGCAGCAGCAGCAGCAGCAGCAGCAGCAGCAGCAGCAGCAGCAGCAGCAGCAGCAGCAGCAGCAGCAGCAGCAGCAGCAGCAGCAGCAGCAGCAGCAGCAGCAGCAGCAGCAGCAGCAGCAGCAGCAGCAGCAGCAGCAGCAGCAGCAGCAGCAGCAGCAGCAGCAGCAGCAGCAGCAAGCAGCAGCAGCAGCAGCAGCAGCAGCAGCAGCAGCAGCAGCAGCAGCAGCA